AATTCAATATTGAGATGTTATGTTTAATATATGGTGTTTTTTTACCAGCAGTTTCTAGCACGTATGTATATGCTCACTATTTCACAAATTACACTTACAGTTTTCCACCTGTTAATAAATTGTAGTTTTCTTTGCCATCGTCCAAAACCCTCAGTAGAGTTACATATTATTATAACAATAGCATTACCAGTGATTGATGATTTTACCCTGTGATACCTTTCACCAAATTACTGGGTGAAACCACGAGTGGCACCTTTATTAAAATTGGCACTTCACCGCGGGCTGCACAATTTCTTGTGGGCCGCATTTGGCATGCGGGCCGCTGGGTGCACATCCCTGACTTTGTTCCTCAATGTTGTGTATTCATTATCACATAAATTATCTAAAAACTGTAAAAAAAAATATATTTCTCTGATCACTTTTAGACTGATGACTGCCTGTATGCTGTTGGTCAGGGTGCCCTAGCTGTTGAAACAAGATCAGATGACTTTCGAACAATTGATATTGTATCCAAATTACACGATACTGATACAGTCATCAGATGTATTGCAGAAAGAGCATTTTTAAGAACTCTGGTATGTGTTGTATACAAATTTAGAATTTTTTCCCAGTTTATAATCTAACTTGTTGAGTTCTGGTAGTATGCATTTCACAATGTCATCTGCAGCAAATGCCAGCAGTGGTGAGTATCCTCGGACTTTAACTGTAGTGTGCTAGTTGAATTGTTTTTGATAAGCCAAATATCTGCATCTTTTCTGGATAAATTTCATGACATAATGATGTTTTGTAGCAAGATTACTGGAGGAAAACTGAAGAGGTTTCTCAAAACAATTTTTCCATTCACTGTGAATGTCCACTCAGGGGTTGTACAACTAACAGTTCATCCTCATAGTTACTTATCTCTGCAGATTCATACTACTTAATTGTATTTTATCCCATAATCTAAACGTCATTCAGCAAATAAATTTCTCCCCAATATGTGTTATGGTAATGTGTTTCCAGAAAAGAACTGCGGCCCTATTTTCTACTCGTTTGTTTCTAGCTCAGCTGACTAGATCCATGAACACTAAGCATGATCTTTTGAGACTGTAACCATGTTTATCTTTGAATATACAAACCATTTACATTTCTCTTCAAATTCCACAACACAAGTTACCTGCTCTCAGAAAAAGCACATTTTGTGATGATTTTGATTTCTTTTAAGTGATTTATTTACTTTGTTACAGGAAGGTGGTTGTTCTGTACCAACTGCTGTCGAAACTTATATTAAAGATAAAGAGGTATGGAATTTTTATTCAATACAATTTTATACTACTTATTGTGTACTAGGTACTTATCGATCTTTAGATCGGTAAGTATGTTGATAGGTATTTGTCTGTCTGTTAGATGCACGCGATATCTCACGAAGGCGTGGTTGTATCTGCTCCAAATTTTGCATGTGCATTCATCATATCTCGGACCAGTAGCCTATTGATATTGGATGAATTATGTCGTATAATCAGCTAGTTATTAATTAATTAGTGATGGGACACGCGGTGTCACTATAGAGTCATGAATCGAAACCGCAGTTTCGATCGATAAGTCTTCGGTCTTCGACCGATATTCTCGTTTTTATTTTTGTTATAATTCTTAGCAATTGCATTCTCCATTGATTGACATATAATCATATTTCAGTTATATATGAAAGCTGGTGTTTATAGTTTGGATGGATCAGAAGCATTAATTGAGAAAATGCAAACAACACTGGTTCCGGATGAAGACTGGGATAAAATGGTAGATTTCAATTTTTTCTATGTCTCAAATTAATAATTTTAGGAATAATTTAGAATTTAAGAAATTATTGTTTTGAGCGAGTGATTCAAAAATTTCATTTTTAAAAATATTTTTTATAATGTTTTGGACATAATTCATTATCCGGTTTTGGCCATCCTGCCAAAAATACCCTTCATAACAAGAATTATAAATTTGATTCTTTTCATTTTATTACTAGATCAGAGCACAGGACAAATCTGAAAATTGTGAATTTGCAAGTATTACGATCAGTTATCATTTCATCAGTCCATTTCTGTTGAAGACAGCTGGTCATCTTGGAAGAGATATAGCTCAATTGCTACTGAACAGAGGAGCCAGGAGAATATTGGATGAAGCTAGACGTCAAAATGAAATGAGCAATGATTTGTGATACGGCATTTGGGTTGACAAAGTTTATCACAGCGAGTAGCAAAATTTGGTCTTATGCCAACCTGGGATGTCACTTAATACCTTGCAGTTTCCATTGAAAAAATAATTATTGGTTATTCTAGAACTTTTGTATGTTCCTTCAACACTGCGACCTCTTTTATGTGTGCAAAGCATATTTTGACAACGGTCCCATTGTTCTAAGGCCTAAGCAATATTATTCATTCGCTTTATTTATAAATATAGCAGCAATGTATAGTAATACATGGTCCATGTATCTGGAACTAATAACTGGTTAACTATTCCCATACCTGGCAAACAGATGAGTAGCTGTGTTTTGCCATATGTTCAGGCTGTCGCATCGCCTGTCCTCAGATATTCAGTTTATCAAAATCATACCCTGCCTTCAGCCTACAAATAATTTCAGCTGATTCAGCTCCTACTTCATTATATAGATTAGCATCATACTTAGTGGTATTGCGCCCAAATTTGATGGTACTTTGTTTTAAGTGCCAAACCAATGTTGTAGCGCAAAAACTAGTGGTTGAAACTTAAATGTTAATATGTATTTAATTGTCTTTGTTTATTTACGCTGTTCGATCAACACAATTAAAAATGTTTTGCAGTTTCGTATTTTTCGAAACTTATTACAGTATTTGTTTTGTCTATAAATGCCTTTATCTCGGTTAATTGCTAGCTGTTTGTGCTAACTCCTTTTGTGATGATTACGCTATTAATAAATATGACACATGATGTATGTCTTCAAAATACCAGATTTATAATTGACTGACTGACTATGCTGTATGTATGTTATCTTACTGGCAAGGTTGATTTAATGCAGGGGTGGGCAAAGTTTTTGAGCCGGGGCCAAAAATTTTGCCCACGTAAACTGGCGGGCCATGTAAGTGTGACGTAACACGTAATTTTATAAACAATATATACAGTGTTGCAAAAGTGGAAAACAATAAGCCTTGTGCCAAAATTAAATTTAACCGCAATCTCGACAAAATCCTTTAGCTATTTTAGCTGAAACATTAAAATTTGATTTCAGTTTGGTCGTGGCAGCATCAGGCGGGCCGGATTTGGCCCGATTGTCTGATTCAATGTCAGGAACGATGAGGCGGGCTGTTTTCTATAACTGCTGATAGCTTATGCGCTGCAAATCGTTGTATTATCATACTCTCGTTGATTATTCTGCTGCAATTGCATTAGTTTGTTTATGCGCTGTTTCAAAAAACTGTAGGGCCACCTTGTTAACTTTATGTCTACCTCCAATCCCCCACCTTTTATATTTTCTCAACGTCATCGAAGACCGAAACGCCATGGCTAGGCCGAACAAAATAATTCACACATGTGTGTGCTTCGTTCAAAAAGCACGTTGGTGGCAGCAGTACAGATGAGAACGTATATATTCATGTATAAAAATAATAATACATTATTGCAAATTATCCAGAGTTTTGCGTCATCAGTCAGATATCAAGTGTGAATAAATAAACCATGTATATATATTTACTATATATATGAACTACAATTCACCAAAAAGTCACATTTCGAGCGGGTTCTGAAAAGAGAGTCGGGTGGTTTTGTAAATGCGCAGTGCAAACCTTAAAAGTGCGGGATATAAATGTGTTTTGGCTACTTGAAAAACAAACAGCCTTTGTCGTGCAATATGCACAAAATTCAACCTTCGTGATTCAAACCTTTTTGGTTCGCCGTGGACCAGTTTCATCAGAGGAGATGAATCATAATATTATCTGTCGAGTTTTTTATACGATTATTAACGCATTTCGCTCTGAACCAGGCCCTGTATAAGTAACAACTGATATCCTACGATACGCTGGGTGCTATTCATTCTGGAAGAACCGGAATCTATCCGGTCCGGAATTACCCACCCAATTCATTACTGGGCGAAGTTGTGGGTCTGCAATGCAGTTTGAGTCTAACCCTTCAACCGCTAGGCCAGAGGTGGGCAACTTCTCTAGTCGGCGGGCCAAGTTTGGGAAAATGAAGTCCTCGGCGGGCCGGATTATTACAAAAAATACTTCGGTATCCAATCTTTGTTAAATGCTCGACACTCTCTGTCAACTTTACGTTTTTTGGGATATTCCATGATTAATAAAACTTAATATAAAATTTAATTTCTAAAATATATTTATATTTGAAATCTAAATATAACTGATAACAGTGGTGGGGAATCTTTACAACGCTCTCTGCTTTGACCTTATATTGTTTGTTTAACAAGTGTGCTAACGCAATTGTTTGTTCACTAGGGCAATTGGGTGCTCCTGAAGTATGCGCACCAAGATGTCGCATAACCTGAGGCCTAATCTGGTACATAACCTGAGTTTAGGTTGTGCGCCATCTTGGTGCGCATACTTCAGGAGGTCCGGCAATTGTTTATTTCACCAGCTCGCACTGACAGTACGGTGAGAATAGAGCGATAGGCAACTTTCAAGAATGATGCGTCGGACCACATTACAGAGTGGGGTTGGAGACAGTCAGCGGGCCGTATGTTGCCCACCCCTGCGCTAGACCATCGGGCCCACTTCTTTGGGGTACGAGGTTTACCCAATTTAGCGACACAGTTGAGGTATGTCATGAAAGGCAAACAAAATTTGTACACGCCTTCCTCCACCATCAAGTCCATGCATACCCGACCTAGACTGGTAACTTGACGAGAGGACGTGATTCGCCATATGATTAGGCCGTCCTAACGGCTTTCATCTCCTCCGGAATAAATATGTGAATCTTAACCTTGTAGGTTATTATGAAATGTCGGACATCTCATATATAGATATATATGTGACATGAGATGGTACAACCACAGCAGCAAGATCACGTGTCAATAAGTGTATGCCATCGACACACTTGTTGTCCTTTTCCTTCTTTCATTTCTTGCCAATGTTGTTCATCGGGTTCGCTACTACTGTTTCGTCCCATCGAAACCCAGCCGATCATTTCTTTTTTCTTAATAGTTCGTTTGTTATAGACGCTCACCATTAACGTTACTTCGCCTAGTTGGAATAATGCGACCTGAAAAGAATTTGTCGGTTTAAGTAGCTTGACAATGGAGTTTGCGGTTACGGTCATGGTTTTCTATGAACTATTCGGTTTCTATGCAAACAGGCTTTTGTTAATACGCCCTTAACGTCCTCTAACGAAGGTTACAAATTAGGACACGATATTTTCGTCTGTCGTTTTGAAGAGAACAAAATCTATGAAAAAGCCTGGTAATGAAACTTGCCTTTAAATCGGGAATTTAAATCAGGGGTGTGCAAACTGTGCCTTGCCGGCTAAATGCGACCCGCAAGGAAAAATTGTGCGGCATGCGAAGAAGTGCCAATTTTGAAGGGTGTGCCCGCGAAACGAGTTTCCAGTTTAAGTAATCTGGTACGTGCAAGCAATTCCAATCCCAATAGCAGTTTTCATTAGAAATTTATGCGTTTTACCTCACCATTTCTGTAAGGACTTCTAATATACCGTAAGATCAATAACAAATCGAAAAAAAATTTGCCTGCAACTACTAGAAACGCAATCTTAAATAAAAGTGCGGCCCGAGGCTTCACCCAGTTACTTGTATCTGGCCCTTTTGTAATAAAGGTTGCACACCACTGATATAAATCATTCTTGATCACATGACCAATGGAACATGAATAAATTGGTAGATTTTATGATTTTTTTTATAAAGTATTTGAAATTTGGAGAACAATTTTTGACTCATTTCAGTATTTATAATAAAAGCATACACGCATGCATAATTAATAACGATACCCTTTTTCTAATCTTTACTCCCGGACTAACAATATTCTAACACTGGCGTTAGGAACGGAACATTAAATTATTCATATTTGTTCAAGCCTATGCATATATATACACATATATAATCAACGAGTCAGAATTACAGACGCAGAACTAATTTATGATGGAGCTTTATTTTTCGAAAATCGACACTAATCCTACTTAAGCGGATGCTATCTTACGTTCATGCTTCAGTATCTGTGTATATATGTTTCGACCCGTCGCAAAGAAGATTATGCGCCGAAGGTCACAACCCGCTCCGATGAAAAGATTTAATGTTGGCCTCGGATCTTACAAGGTCGAGAAACACTGCATTATAGGATAAAATACTAGATCAAAAATCTCTATTATAAGAGCACTGTACCTGGAAAAAGAAGGTTTCTTTGAAAACAGGATTCGGTTGTCCTCGTCTTATCGTTGTTTTACTTTGCGACATTTCTTGGCAAGCAGAATTTAATAAAGATAATTTCACGAAAGTATCTAAATGAAATCAATAAAAAATCACTTAACTTTCGATTTCGTAATTAATATTACTTATTATTTTTAATAGCAAACTTAAAGAGCTAGAAATATCTTTCTTACCTGGGGGCTTCGTCATTGCTAAATTTCGGAAGTGAGATCCTTTTATAACTTCGACGCATAATCGACCAGTTGGTGGATTGTACGACAATCCTACGAGTAATTCTGGTGGACTTCCACCGTGAGATAAACTCATCATTGATGAAGACCGACTATCGATATTCGAAAGTGAAGTATCAGAATCGACACGCTGAAAATATAGAAAGAAAAAATTATAACAATTGTGATTTTTAGGATGTCGAGTTGGAGAATATTCACAATCGACCCCAGACTCCGGGTTTAGAAAAATTCGACTCCGACTACGTCCATGAACTCCGGGAAAATCAAATTTTGATAACAAAAATTATGACGTATGTAAGGCTTCTTTATTATACTGTTAAAAGCGGTTATTAAAATTAATGTTTTTCGAGTTTCCGTGAGAAGTTATGACTTATTCCATCACCATTGAGATTTTGCAATTCCGACTCCGGATAATTCAGAATATCGACTCTGACTCGACAGCCCAATACATCAAGGATTGTGTCGTTGTCCAGACGAAAAAACGGGCTCAGCGACATATAAAATTACCGTTTGGATTGAAGACATTTGTTCAAAGGACTTCATTACAATCCAGGCCACGCGCACTGACACGGGAATAAAGGAGACTCATCTCGAAGCAATATTATGAGCGACCACTAAAAACCCAAGTTTTATAATCAACCTATATAGATTCGTGGTGGCGCGTTTTAGCCAATAGCGATTTATGTGAAGCTCAAAGTAGTGAAAATGAATATGATCAAAAAACAGCTATAAGGTAGTAGATTTATAAATGAGGTTCTTGAATAAAATTTTGATGATTTAGATGTGAATTAAAATAGCAGCTCTTATCATGAATTCAGTGGTACTTGTACGTCAGTATTTGGGCAAAATACGAATTTCAAATTATTTTAATGAAACATTTCACGATTGAAACTTTTTTGTCGTTTTCGCGCCCTTGTGCAAACGGTGTTCATTGGCACGAGGCATTGTTGCCACACTTTATTCCCCTGAATAAATTGCATACCAAACAATGAAAAATAATGTGGGATTTCTTTTTTAGTTTCTAGCAATACATTTACACTAGATTCGTTTCGTGAAAATTTCTTAAAAATCAAAAGTTTTTGACCATATAATAATATAGGAAAGATTTGTTGTATATATGCAAATTCAAATTGCAGAAAACTCACATTTATATTTGTTCTTGGTTCAAGTTGAAGTTGGACTGTTAGTTGAGGATCTCGAATCAGATTCAATTCATCAAATCTAATGACTGCTTCTCCAATCAGACGATCTTTAAGCTGAAATAATTGAAATGTATCAAAATACATCATTTTCTCATAATATGAGTACAGTATGTCAAAATGCCTCAACAATTACCATTTGAACGAAACAATATTAATATACCACTACAATATTGGATTTATTACATTACGAGTATCGTATCGACCTATATTTCAGACCGTTGTCTACACATTTGATTAAAATTGCAACTCTAGGCATCAGTGAATAAAATATGCTTATAAGATGTTTAGTTATGCTTTCAACTGATATTAATGCTATTATCTCTAGATCATTTTGAAAAATGGAAAAATGGCGGCATTACTTAGCGCTATTGCTTTTCTTTCTTAGTTGAAATTATGGTCATCTTGAATAGGTTATAACGGCATCTCAGAATGGGCTTTTGTGAGATAAAATTAGAATAAACAGGAATATTGTGTTGTTAAATCAACTTTGGGTATACTGAACAATTAACAGGTAAACTATTCCCATACGCACCCCAGAATGGTAACAAGACAAGATGCCGTGATTCGTGACATGAATATGCATTTTATCGATCCTCCTCATAGATGAATTTGACGAACAAAATTACTACTAAGTAATGAGAAAAAAATTTTCCATACCTTCCCTATGCCATACATTCTCAATCGTAGTGCAAGTCCCCTTAAATCTTCAGGTGAAGCTCTTGTTAGTTTAAATGTCTCTGCAAATCTTGGTGAACTGATGTGTTGAACTTTCGTTTTATATTTCTTTTTCTTTGTTGGTAGTAACACCGTTCGAACCTTTCATTATAAATTAACAAGTTCAGGTTACAAACTTAATCTATAAAATGCCGGCTTATAGAAAACACTATTAGTGTATAGATTTATTCAAGTAAATGAGAGGCGCTGATGAAGAATACATTGTTTATGTTCTGCGATTTATCATTTCATCGCAAAACGAATATGATAGTTGAAATATGTGTAAAGAAGTCTGACATTGTGCATACGAAACGTAACCGAAATGGATTTGTGTTAGTGTGCAGCAAGACTCTTGAATCAAATAGACCAAAAACATTTTTTTTGGATTGACGATATTTGCTATAGATATTTGGGAGTAACGTGCTGGGACGTAGATATCAGATATCATACTATAACACGAATACATATATAGACCTGTTTTGAATTATATCCTTATGCGCTATCCAAACAGAAAATGAAAGCTTTCAGACAAAACTTCAATGAGTTGTTTGAATTATTGATGAAGGACGTATTTTTAAACCCATTAAAATTACGATATCTGCGAACCAACACGACTTAGTTCACTTTCTTTAATTTGAATCTAATGAGACCAAGGCTTTGAATTTATTCCCACACAATATCAATAGGGAGAAATGATAATACCGGTCCATCTGTCCCATATACCATCAGTATATTAAATTTAAATATAATGATAACTAAAGTATACGTTTTTAAGTCTTACCTGTACAAAACTCGACCCTCCTCTCGCTTTTGAAGGTAAATCATGAGCTTCGATAATAGTAACCTGCAATTTACTATCCGATACAGAATATTGGACTCCAACATCTAACGTTCCACATGCAGAAATTGGTTCAGCTGCATGTGCTTCCATTTCTTCGTCTTCGTCATCAAGTTCACCAATAGGACGAACCGCGTCCCTTGATGCCTCCCGCGCCATCGCCAGCTCATCTTCACCCCTTGATTCCTTGTGAAATTTATAGTTAATTTTAAGCTCTATATAATTCAAATTTATAAGATTCCCGTCGGAGATAACAGATGGATTTACAAATAGTTTCAACAAGACCAGAGGTTCAGTTAGGCCAGTCCAATTGTAGCAAATCAAGCGTTGTAACTGAATCGCGCCATCTACTATTTCTGTTCAAGCGTTGAAATGAATTTCATGGCTAGCTAGTCTACAATGGTCAAGCAAGTATTCACTCCTTTTAAAAATTTCTCGGTCAGGCATAAAGCGCTTGGAATTTGGATTGCAATGAAAAAAGTGTTGAAAGCATTCAGGAAAGCAAATGTTAATGAAGCATTGTAAGTGAGTAACACGGAGTCCGAATTCAGTTATTCTGATATTGTTAAAGCCGTATCACCAGTTTGACCAGTGAAATGGTAATAGTAGCAAATAAGCTGGCATCCTTTGCACAAAGCCACCGCCAAAAACACACTCCCGCTAACGTTCAAAATGAAAAAATTATTTATTATCCAGTCAGGGTTTGGGTTAAAAATGCAAATTGCACTAGACATTCAAATTTTCAAATCATCCCCAACTCCAACTGGATAATTACTAATTTGTTTTTTAAATATATATTTTTTAAATATCACATTTTTGCATTAATGGCGCGAGCTTCGTATAAAAGATTCATTATCTTTTTTCCTTGTTCAGAGCGAACGGCACTCAAAACTCAATTATAATGTCAAGTGTTGTGTAAATATATCAGGTTTCTTACCCGAAGTGCGGAAGCTATGTGTTCTTCCCTGTACAAACTTTCTTCGTCTCCAAGACCCCATTTCGAACTAGTGTAGGAAGTTGCTAGTGACTTGTTACTTCTAGATGATAAACTTGGACTCGTTCGAGGACTTTTTCGTATCGCTTGCTATAAAATATTTATTTGTGTTATAATTATTTAGTACGTAATCAGGAATTCGAAAATTGGCGATTTCAAACAATTTTTGCTCATAATACAAATGGAGTGCATCAAAGGGCCTCGATAATTCCATTCCCATGCTTCGCAAATGATATTTCAATTTCTTCAAACACAGATGTAAACGACATTAAGGCACGATTAACTCCGGAATAAGTAACAACAAGTCTATATATAAAAATAACATAATCTCTTTCCGCGAAATAGCAAGTATATTAGTGAGCTTTCATAAGATCGATAATTCCCAACCATTTATCAAGCGACCCAAATTTCGTAAAAAATAAATTGCGTAAAATCTCGCGACCTGGGGATATGCTCAATATAAAACGGCGTCTTGTGCTTCCATAGCCGCATAGTTCATAGTCTAACTCAAGACAAACCAGAATTTTGTTATTTGTTGGAAAGAGATTATGTTATTCTTAATCATCACTTCAAATAGTATATCGTTCAAGCATCATTGTGGTAACGGAAACACACGTATCCGGAATAGGAAGTAGATGAGCACAAAGGTCCTGTAGTTATTAGGGCCTAACCCTAATCTGGTACACATACTACGTTCCGGTGTCCTACAACTTGGTTCACATACTTGGGGGGTACCAAAAGTTTTACACTTTTATAAAGTTTATTCTGTAATGTTTTGTTTCGACCAAAGTCTGACTTCCTCAGACAAGCAGTTTACATCAATGACCTTTGAACCACTAAATACAGCCGTTTCGATTTTTCTACAGTGTCCGTGCGATCAGTGCATACGGATTCAATAATACCAAGACAGAGAAAAAGGTGAAGCCGTTAGATACACCTACTTCAATCAACCACAAAGTCAATATTAAAGCGATATATTGCCTTCGAATTACAACTGTCAATGAAATATTGACTAATATGCCGTCTGCATTGCCTCCTAATTTACATATATATTATTCTGAACAGCCAACAACAACATCGCATAAAATAACCAAACTTTACCTTTCTTGAAAATTCTCTCAAACTACCCATAGTTGCTCTTCCTTGATATTGCGATGTCGAAGCTTCGTTCTCGGGAAAATCAAATGTATCGGCTTCTGAGTAAATATTGGAAACAAAAAATCATGAATCAGCACTTTATTTACCTAATTCTTATGCGCAGTAGGGGAGGAATGAAGAGTTTCAAAATGAGCTAAAGGAGGGATGTATCGAAAAAGATTGGAAACCATTGGCTTACAGTAAATTAGAAAGCCTTATGAGTGCCAAACGAGTAATTTCACACAAGTTAAATACAGGTAAAGTACGTGTGACTGGTACGGCTACATACCAAGGTAAATTGAGAGGCCTAATTCTAGGTGAAAATGTGGCAACAAGCTTTTTCTATAAAACTTGAGACTGGTACCGTTAACCTGGAAGAAATATTATTTAACAATTAGTTGGGTATTGGAAGTGATTTGTATGTATGTACTTGTCTTGTCGTCTGTTAGATTGGTTGTAATTGAAGGTCAACACCCACCGTGGATGACTCGAGATGTTGGTCCTGATATAGTTTTTCGTCGTTCTTCAGCTTCTCTTTCTGTAGTATATTCAGGGGAATATTCTTCTTTCCTTTCATAGTTTAGATCGTCTTCTCGCGGAGGTGTTGTGAGAACAATAACTGGAGATCCCAATCTTGGTGAAGCAGGTGAACGGTGCGTCTCATCTTCAACTTCTAAATCTCTCATTTTTTCAGAGCCAACGGTCGACTTTGAATCTACTAAAACGAGCACTCAGTATTAGGAACTCGGTTTTTTGATAGATGTAGTGATCGAAAATGATCTTGAAAATAAATCTATTTTTTCGCAACGAATGATTTAAGGCAGGGGTCAGCAAACTTTTGTCGCTCGCGGACCAAAATTAAGGGTTGCAAGTCATTGGCGAGCCTCACATACTTTTTAGAAAGTTGAAAACCGAACGTATGATACTTTTTATAATTAAAATCAAACAGTGATACATCTCTCTAATAGAATATAAATTTATTTCCTCATTGCATTGTATCTCATAAAACTCCATTTGAATATTTTCGACGCCATTGAAACCTTTACACTCAGCATCAAATTTTCTGCATTTGGTTGCCATTTGTCTAATTATAATTAAACGATAGGCTCAATAAACGAGTAATTGTGAATTTTATACTTGTTAGATTATATTATAATTTAGTCTACACGTGTCTAACAATAAATTTTGTTAAGTAAAGAATATAACCGTCAAAGCAGCTGTTTTGTTACTATTATTCAGTGAAGCGCCGCGGGCCGGATTATATTACCGTAGTTTGCCGACCCCTAATTTAAAGAATAGTGAGATTGTCTCAAAAATGTCGTGTCCCACACCTGTCCCTTTTTTAGCACTTTTGTGCCATATTTGTCCTACAGTTGTACCAATTGTCCCGCTAGTACCACTGATCTGAGTTATGATGGATATAAGATATCGTATATTGTGGAGTAAATAGTTAAAGTAAACATATGAAGTGGGTGGGATTCATGCTATGTTCCAGGTTAGGATAGATATAAGACTTTGGCAGAAAGATGGAGTAATCTTATGTATCGAGATTGTTAGAAGATGTACAGGACATTTTCAATACACCGGAAAAGTGATCAGCGCCAGATATTAAGTTAATAGAACTCGTTATGTGCATACTCCGAATAACATGAGAAAAATGGTTGATATGAGAATATATGAAGCTCTGAAAATAACAGTTAATGGTAAGACAACATAAACGACATATTCCATCACGCAAAACTACATTCATATGATTCTCATTCGTAATTATAATTTAGTACAGTATTGAAACATATCTATTATTGAATTTTCTTGAATGTTTAATGTGCTAAAGTAGTGATTATCGTCCCCATATTTTACAGTTCATTTCATACTATCAACCAAGATGGCTCAAAAAGAGTTAAGATTCGCCAAATCAGAAAGTGTTAGTAAATACCAATTAAAATGAAAAATTTAAAACACATCAAATATATCAATCCAAACTCAATTAACGATATCAGGTGAGTAGTCAGTCAGTCGTAGGCAGTAATTTCTGAATTAATGTACTAAATATTTCGTGTGTATCCATCGTGATCTTACCCGATCTTATAGAATTGAGTGTATCTCTGCTTCCACGAATTGACTGTGATTTCCTGATAGACTTTCTTATTGTTTTCATGGTTTCTTCGGCGCTGTCAACGGACGAATCGCTGTCGGAGTCATCGAAAGATCGAGCTGAAAATGAAATTTATTCATTATCATCACTTTTAGTATTTTGTCAAGTTATTCGATCTGGATGAAGTCGTACGAACATGGCATTTTGAACCTTTTTTACAACTTTTTGAAATTTTTATACCTATTTGCATAGCAAATCCGAATGCGTTATCTTTGACGAATAATAGCGATTATAAGTCAGTGTTTGGTGATCTTATTAGCAGGATAACCAAAAAAGAATGAACAAAATCAACTAGTATACTTGCATTATACATAATCTACATATTATTATTTTCCATTGATCTTCGAGCAACAAAGATTGGTACTCCCGTAGTGTGTGTACCGAGTTAGGGTTAGGCCATCATTTTATTCCGATTTTCCTTATTTTAGTTCTATTAGGAGTACGGGGACTGTCTGTGTTAGCCAAGTGAATACACCCGCTGCCCATAGTTTTCAGTCCCTTTACAACTTGATGAACAAAATTAGTTACCTCGATATTCGTACACACACTTCTGGAGCGCCAAAAGATTTATTACAAGGTAAAGGTACCACCGTCTACGTGGGTTAAAAATTCGACCAATCCAGCGTTCACATTCTTGTAGTTACTTGACGCGGATTGAAATTATTTTGGAGGGTGCAGCGAAAGCAAGCTAGTGTTAGCACTCTTTCCAAGGTATGGCATTATTATTCGCATAACGTTAATTTAATGGAAATCGTCAACTTTGCATCTTTTACGTAGATAATACAAAAATAATTGATATTACTATATTTTCACGAATTATATCCATCTAATGAAAAAGTCGAAGTTTGTTATATTATTGAACTCTCGCTTTCAAGATATATAATTGACGACATTGACGTATCTGTAACCACGCAATATTTGCGAAAGCCCAAGTTAACTCTGACGCAAATGCAAACTAGCACCTTAAAACGAAAACCTCTAGAAAGGTTAATGTATTATGTATGGCGTTGACCTTGTATAATAGTTTTTGACATTTCAAGCGCATTATTTTAAAGGGGTCGTGGCCAAATGAAGAAACATTTGAGTTTGAGGAAGAGTCTACAAATGAACATAAAAATAATTACTTTAAATGTGAGTTTAGTTATTCCTATATTTCAAGTTCACGATCTATCTTGTCCACAGACAAGTTCAAGATATCATCAGGGCAACGTATCATGAAAAATTTATTTTCAACTGACGCATTATTCCAGACGTCTATTATTTGGTAATTCAGGAATACTTACAATAATTTGAATAATTTTGCGGTAAGAAATAAATATTGACACTATCGAAACAAAAAAATGTGCGACTATTAACGAGCATTTTGTCGGGCCTGTACCTGTAAACTCTGTATATTTAGTCAATACAGATAATAGAGTCAATGGTACATGGTGTGCTTCTAAATAAGCGAATCTCCACATTTTCATTCAAGGTGCCAGCATTTGCGGGAGGTCCCTTTGCGTGACCAATCATAAATGAGTTGGTAATAGAATATAACACGGGATCCTATTTATTCAAAAGCACTAATGATGCTAAAACAGAATGACTGCCCTAATGTCAGCGAAACGTCAAATTAAAATATTGTACCGAATGTCATATAAAAGTGTGCCCGTGGATTATATATATATATATTACACAAAAACAACAAAATTTTGGGTCCCGCGGCCTGTACGACTTGAAGAAAATTTGGAAGTACTCAAAATTGTAAGGTCCACTCCTCGAATAATAAAACAACATATATGCGATCACAAAATAGTACCTAATCAATTATTCTGTGATCGGGGCTGAGGAAAGATAATATAAAGATCATTGATCTTATTGTGTGATGAACAGAGTGCCGTATACAATACAATGCATGAATACCGTGTCGCCTGGATCTCCGATCAGACTTTCGTGACGATCTCGAATTGTGTTTCCTCCTTGGCTTTCGTTCATGTTTACGGTTAGAATTATACGATGGAGTCTCCGATGCATCGGACAGACCTTGTGGTTCAGACCGAACAACCGATCCATTTTTATTTTCCGTAGAATTTTCGTTTGACATTGTTGAATAATCGTTTTGTTTTGATCGACTCATTTTTGCACGATCTAATTTCGCCTTGGCAACAACGTCCATCGGGTAACCTTTGACCCCAAACATGGACAACAGTCCACGACAACAACACAGAGACGACATAGCTTATATTTGTGGGTCGTTAATTTCTATCTCTGTCTGTATTTTTATTAATAAGAAACAAGAACTACGAAAAAAGTCAGATGTCAGAAAATCAGATCAATCTCATGTGTCACCTCCATTTTATAATCGTATTCTAACCATTCATTTAAATTACATTCTAATTTAACTGTGATCATATCATAACATAATTTTATCTCTAAATGTCGTGTTTGCCCCAATTTATAATTGTGTGACACTCCGATACTCGTAATAAAATGTTTCTTATTAATTAGTCTGATCATTTCTATCGAAAAGCCTTTCATGGCAAAAAATACCAATTGTTTGCTCATTTAATTCAGAAATGCTTTTTGGAATTCAGCTCTATCTCAAATTTCGCTAATATCTTAATTGTGAAAATTATTTTGACGTCTATATAACGAACCATTTTGTTATATCAAAGAGGCAACAGATAAAATCAACCCGGCGGCACATTCTTAAAACCGCATTCGACATACTCAAAACATTATCGTTGAAAAATCATTTGAAAATCGATAGAATGCAAAATTTGCAGTGTAAATTGGCATGACTGACGTAGGAATAATACACATAAAAAATGTTTGATGCAATCAATTTGGTGGGATCGCTAGTTGGTCAATGAAGCTTAAAACTGCTGTGGCGAAATCAGATTAGCTTTGCCCACGGGTCATATTTAAGAGCTTGTTTTATCACATAAATCTGATCCATTAGACAAAATATTAATATGTGTTTTCAAGGCTATATCTTCCCATGGGCTGATTGAAATCAAAAAGTCACCCTAGTTCTTATTTCAATTAAAAAAGAAAAGCTGTGAATTATGTTGAGAATGCCTAAAAGTCTATTTAATGTTTTCAAAACGTAGTATTCCAGAATTCCGTAATACTGAACCATTATTTTAAGGGTGGTATCCCAGGTGGTATCCAAATGCCGAAACTGCCTTCACTGACAGCTATAGACTATGATAGACTGCATCACTAAATCAAATCTACCTTGAAGTGGTCTGTCTCTTACAATGAAACTATGTACAGTTAGGCATCTTCCTGGTTTACTGCTACGATATTAAATTGTATGTAGGCATTGTACACATTATAAATGAATGGCCAATACCATCGTAACTATAACACGCCTCAGTGCATATACCGTAAGTGTTTCACGGGCGATGGAGAACAAAAATATCCAAGCTATAAATCTGAGCTATTTATGGTATAATGGAATAAATAAAGTTAAAGTAGCGCATAGAGGGCTTCATGGGTATTTCACTACAGATTGGAAAATGTAATATGGGAATTGAAATCTTGAACGCAAATTTGAGAAGATAAAGATCCATATTCAAATACTATAAATTCTTATTCAATTCCTTTCAATTGTTAATATTCCAAGATGATCAGTTAAGCAGAAAATAATCCAAATTTTGCGCGGGAAAAAATCATAAATAAAATGAAGAAAATTCGGGTACAGTTGTGTGACTGTTAGAAATTACTTTTTGTTAAAGCACAAATTAAAAGGTACAATGATATCCGGGGTAACATTAAGCCGTTGAGCTTTTACTGTAAATAAACCATATTTGCTAAAGAATACCACCGATATTTTCAGTAGCTATGGAATAGCCTATAAGTATTTTTTTAAATTTGCGGTTTAATCGGTATTTATATCATAACAAATACAGAATCTTATGTAACATTTGATTTCGGTAAACATTTAAAAAAAAACAGAAAAACGTTCAATTCGCACCACTTATTACTATGAATGCTGTTTCTGGCTACCGTGAGTCATAACCAAACAACAAATTTCGTACATACCGTAGTGGTAAGTATCTATAATCCTCGCGTATAACTTCAACTAAGCCACGAGTATAACCACAGCAAAACTTATCTTTATCCCATTTCGAACGACTCTATCACATTCGACGAGCATTACCAGCAGACGGTGTATGAACTATAAATAATCGACGCAATATCACTCACTACTTTATTTTAAGAATATAATTCAGTCTACCCTCAGCTGAAATCTAACTTAATTCTATGCATTGAATGTCTACGTTCACCGACAAAACAAACCACTTTTCAAATAAGTAAGTCTAAGGCTCCGTTTCATTGTGTAACCAACAAACCACGTCGTCACGACATTGAAATGTAAGTGGCAAGAAAAATTCAATATACCTGGTCGAGTTTGTTGCCTAAGTACCTACCGTTCCAAAAGACTTGAATAACTCTATCCGACCGTAAAACGAACAATATCGTTATAAAATACGTTAAGCCAAATGACATCTAATGACAACGTTACGGAGTAGATAATAAGACTGAACATGCTATCCCGTTACGCACTCTAAATATAGTAATTCTAGTTTCAACAAACTAATACATTTTCTCTACAAATTGGTGTTTTTACATTAGGTACAATAAGAGATCCAAACTGCAATATTCAATACACAATTCCACGATTATCGCATCTTTCATTATTTTATTGTACGTCAATACCAATAGCTTCCCACAAGCTTGAATCTCACGTCAAATTCACGCAACATTACAGCGCTCATGCGCACGACCGATACCGCGAAGGCGTCTGTCTTACCAATGATTTGAATAGAAAAGCCTTAGCAACTTTTCCTCGGGCATTCTATCTTCACAGATTGACAAAATAAATATTTACACTCGATTCTTCAAGAATTTCACGTCACTGTAATGTTGGTTTTGGCGTATATTGCCAATTGTCAAATTTAAATCATACAACTAGTGATTTCGTCACTATTAAACATAATTCTGAATGGCAAGTAATTTCTCCACCGATTTTTTTTATCGAGAAGGCTTTGAATAGCGACATGCCCTGGTTATTGTAAGAAATAGCAACCACAACTCTTTCACAAACGGAACTTCACAGAAAATATAGGAATATATGTCACGAAATTTTAAATACATTGTCTCTATAGATATGTTACCCATATTCTCAGGAATTTCCCTAGGAATATATCGATAGTTTCGAAAAACATTTGCAATTGTACAGAAATATATAAATACTGGTATTAAAACAGCAGTATCTACCCGACTTGGATTGAAGGGTTATCAGGTCAGGTCACGAATTTCAGTAAACCGAATAAGCGAAGAATAATCGCCGTGGTTTCGAGCCGCCGCCCTAGATAGGCATCTATGCTATGAACTGTAAATCTAAAGTACGTTTCAGTCCACCCACTATGAAATTTATGAAGATATTTTTAATGACCAAATATCGTGAATATAAATAGGATTTATTAATGTCCAGAAGATATAGTTAAGCCAAATCGTTCTTTATTCATCGTTTCGAAAATTGAAAAGGCAATCATAATTTGGATTCTTTTACATAAAATAATTGAATTTTGATCAGTGGTATTACTGGTACATATCAATATACCCAAGATTTATGTTATTTTTTCGTGATTGATAGGAGTATCATTAAAGACATTAAGCGTTAAACAGTATTCTCTTAACAAAAATGATGATTTCCCATAGCGGGATGTCATTTTTTATTAACAGTAAACGGGGATTCAATTTTGGAATTTCGCGTAGAAACGATACAATATCACAATACAATAATATTGCGTTTCCATTCTGTAGTTATCCTAACGTTCGAATAATTTCTGACGACAACTGGAAAATTATTGCATACAGAGTAAATGACATATTGTCAAAAATAATAACAAGTTTTATAGCATTTCGTCGTTTTGTTAAAATGTGAAATTTATATTAGAAGCAAACTGCACCGGCATCTTATATTGGTTCAACCTATTCCTAATGCAATGGAGCACATTAAAATTGTGCACAGGAAGACATTGTATAGGTTATAATCAGGGTTGCCATACCGTGCTTATTTCTAAGATTTGTGCTTATTTTATAGCGTGTGTCTTATAAAGTAACGATGTGCTTATTTCTAAGGAAAGTGCTTATTTTTGAGTTACGTGCTTATTTTGTCTTAGAAACATGGATGACTTGTTTATGTTTTGCGTACAAAGCTTCCGTAGAAACGAGGGACGATGTGTTTTTGTTACACGCAACGCGTTTAATTTAAAATTATGTGTTTATGTTATTTAATAATTAATTTGTTACCCACATTTTGGGTTAGATGGCTGCGCATCTTATTGAAAATGCGCAGACGCCCTTTGGGTTGTTGTTTCCTGTGCAAGATGTTGAATGCTGGATGTTTATTGTGTGTACCTGCCTACTTTTCTGTAGCTTCTTACATTTTAGAGGTTGCGTGTGGCCGTTATTTAATGGTTTTCCATGGCCTTGCGCGATTTCGGGCTGCATGCAACCTTGTTCGAAGCGACTTCTAATAATAAAAAGTTGGAGTGCGGAAGAGACTTGTGTATGATTCCTTTCTCATTTTCAATCTGCCTTTCTGCCGTTGTTAAGTACCCCTCAAAATAAACTTTAGACACCCGTGCTTATTTTTGGCTCTAGGTCGATGGCAACCCTGGTTATAATGAAGCTGCACTATGAGTGGGAAACTACGGTAATTACTTATCGATTTTAATCGTTGATTTAGTATGTTGATAGGTATTTGTCTGTCTGTCTGTCTGTTAGATGCACGCGATATCTCACGAAAGTGAGATTGAATCTGCTCCAGATTTTGCATGTGCATTCATCATATTTCGGGCCAGAAGCCTATTGATTTTGGGCGAATTATGTCGTATAATTAGCGAGTTATTGATTAATTAGTGATGGACACAAGGTGTCACTATGGAGTAAGAGCGCTGTTTTGGGGGATCCCCTAACTTTCGATCGATAAGTATTCGGTCTCTGACCGATATTCTCGTTTGGATATTGGAGAATAAAAAGTAGCAAATACAGACAGTGATCAGGATCATTTTGAAAACTCAATATAAATTGTAAATGCGAGTTTTTTTTCTGAGCATATACCGTAAAATTGATTTTTATCAAATCGAAGTGGAGTTGAATAGTGAGCCGGTGCAAATATACGTATACAAGACAGCAAAATTATGGTATTGCAATTGTCTTCACCGATTAAAATTGCGATTCGGCCAAATTTCGAAACAACCGACTCATTCTTATATTCATGAAAGTATAGATTTACCGCAGCGAGTTCAATGACTTGCATTGCAAGTGCCAGATCCATATATATTTTGTCTACTTGGTTAAAAATAACTATACTCCAACGATCATTACTCAGAATGGAAAAACACTTCGGGATGGAAGCCTATCCAGCGCAATTGTATAGGCATGGAATATAATATCGTCACGCTAAAAACCGAATTGCGTAAGTCATTTTTAGCAGTTTTGAGAAAAACGTAAAAAACTTTCTAATGATATTGTTATGACATTGAGAGTCAATAATTTGCCATGGTTCAATTTTTGATCGTAGCCGGATTTAAGTTAATTTGTATGACGCAGTTAAGTGACGTCATAATGGCGCACTGTGACTTATGCAGAAATGTGTCTATGACTTGGGGACATACGCAATTTTGCAACTGTACTATGTGCACTAGTCCTGAAAACTAAACATTCCAAAAACGAATGTAATTCTCAGTATCTACAATGTCTAATCCCAAAAATAGCTAATCAGTTTCAATTACATTATTTTTTATGTTTAAAAATATATATTTCATCAATATAACACGTTCTGCACACCCACCGAAATAGTACTAGGATTAAATATAAAGAATAAAACAGCAATGCACCCAATATAAAAGCCAACCAAGGTAAATTGGACTCGGACAGTCAATATCACAAGTGCACGTCTTCCTATACTGTAGTATAAATTCAAATTAATACGCGCAAAGCTAAAATCCAAGATGCAAAAACTCGAAAATACTTCGCCGAGGTTATTTTGCCTTTGTGACGTCACAATAGTCCCGCGGTACCAATGATAATTCATTATGACGAAACAATTGCACAAGTCATACTAAATCTCCATGGATTTCGGAATTCTTAAAATAAAATCTGAGTTAACAGACAGGTGCGCAGCATTACATAAATACCTATTTTATGAAAAACTCAAAATCGCCAAAAATAACCTACGCAATTCGGTTATTAGCGTGACGATATGCTGTGTCACAACACGACGCCCAAATTGACTTTGTTGCGAATAAAGGGTCATATACTTTCATGTTCAAAAACTCATGTTAAAAATTGTTACATTGATGAACTGTACTCATACTTGATATGAGTTCATTGTATTTTAATGGCCGCATCTCGTGATATTTTCCATGCGTCCTTACAGAGTAGTCTAGTCTCTTTGGATTTGTTGTGAAATAGCAGTGGGGTTGGCGGTTACACTCTGGCTTTACTGGAATGGGCTAATGCTTTATATCAAATACCCCTGCTTTATATTATTATGAATAATTAACTTACATAATCCTTCTCCAGCCCTTTGATACCCAGGTTGTAAAAATCGATCACATCCTTCGCATTCTCTGAAACAAGCTCTCTTTGTAATGTAGAGGAAAAAGATGACCAGTATGATGGTGCTGCATATTACTCCAACGAGAAACCAGATCGCAGTGTAGGAAACTGAAAAAAATTATTAAAGTCAGTGAAAAAAAATAGCCGAAAAAAAAATTAAAGCTAATAGTTTGGAAGATAAAATATTGACAGAATACAGGAAGATTACGATTAATATGTATATACAGAATAATACAGCCAAGTCGCGTTGAAATTGCCAGGAGCTTCTGGTGCACCATCACCTTCATCATTTAATTTTTAAAGAAATTTGCTCAAAGCGCGGTCACGCGCGCTCACTAAGAAATCCAAGATTTTTGGACACGAAATGGACTAATAGATCGTTTTGTTATTAGACACGTAGTGGTCATATGAATCGTTTTGTTATTATGTCGTTGTTGATCTTGTTGCTTTTCTTCCTATCATTATGAAAAAAATCGCTTTTTCATTACTGTACCAATGACTTTAAAATTTTCAGTGGTTAAAGACTGTATTTTCCACTAGAAGGATATTACTTTTATTTATTTCAAATATTTCTGTGAGCTCAATGGGATTCGTTTTTGTGTGCTATGACGTCACCAAAATATGCACTTCTTGTGGCGGTTCCGCAAACGCGGCGAATATCGCGCTCAGCGAACGCCGGCGGATCTCGTGCTTAGCAAACAAAAGTGGGGAAGTTTTTTATGGGGAAGCTTTCTTATTATGTTGTTGTTTTTGTTGGTTTTTTTTTCTTCTTGTTTCTAAACCCAGCTGGCCCGTGGCCAAACGTTTTTCACTAAACTAAAACCGGAGATTTATGATCGCATCTTGGTCGAACTACTTGGCATTTAACCAAAACAATACTCAATATCGTCCAAATGGTCTGCAATAGTGAGTGAATACTGTATGTATAGTGAAAGAATAGGCTTCCTATTCAAATTTTCGACATGCCAGAGATGGGGACCGTACATAACGAACCCACGTACATTTGAACCCATGTGTATATCCGCGGGCTCAATCTATATGCGGGTGCTAAAACCCATGGGTTAGGGTTAGTATGGGTTCAAATATCAGTAAAACAAAGAAATTTCCATACGTGCAATAGTATGCAGGTGCAATTGTCGTGGGTTCAAATGTACGTGGGTTCAAATGTAATGGTACCGTCAGAGACTAAACCGGAATCGAATCTAATAAACGGCCAGACACGCTTATCACTATAGTCATGTCCAGAAATTCCTCTGAGGTTATCAGAATGCAATAAAATATATATAAATGTGACATTACTGTAGTCGGGCAAGGCAAGTACATCTCCCATTCTGCACGCAATGGTTTACATCCAACTCTTTCAAGCGATACCGGTAGCCAACATAGACTGACATAAGATAAACTGAAATATTGAACAACACAAATAGGGAATTAAACCGTTTTCCTCTCCCCATGTAGCTGTATACTAATAAAAGTATTGAGTTTGATTTGGAAACTGGAATTTTTTTTATCAAAAACTTTATAATTGGTCCATAATAACAACTAGAAAAGAATTACTGGTGTTTTATGTTGATTTCCGCGACTTGCCGACACAATTTCGGATCTATTACACAGAAGCAGATGTGCTACTAAAAACACCAAACTGATGGTATTTGAGGAACAGGAAAATCGCGGTATAAATTTGTACTTTCAGAAAATACAATAAATATACAATTTCTAATCAACTTCCAATTGAACTGTTCTCATCAACTTGCAATTTAATTGAAAACATAACTTTGAATCTTCTAAACTAGCTCCTGAGAATTTACACCTTGAAGACGCAGCTAATTGAAACCTCAATTTAGGTAACGCTACTGCTAACCCAAAAACAAAGGCCAAAGTGCGAATCAACGCAAATGTAGTATCCTGTTCTTTATATTTAATGACTTCAAATGTAATAGAATAGAAGAATTCTCTTCCGGCATGAGCAGCCTCGACAGTCCGCGTGCTGTGAAGCGATTGATTAGGATGCACTATATATATTTTAGAACCCTTTATATGTAACTTTGATTCAGAATTTAGTATGGCCTTGATGAATAGTGAAATATCAAAGTGGCCTAATAGGTCTTGGGTTATTCCAGGTAAGGACTAATTAATAGTAAGTCTAGGCCAAAACCGTAGCCTTCTAAAGTAAACTGTAAAGGTTCTTTTATGCCGGACTAGTTCGGACTATTTTCAATTTCTAATATTATCTCATTTACGTAATTCTAGCTTTCCTTCACAAGCATATTATCTTACTAATGCGATCATCTGGATACACCTGACAGGTAAATTTTCCTGTCTGTTTGGAGAGCAGTGCGGAAAGTTTACGGATCGATTTCGTCAATCATAAGTCAATATTAATTAGTGGCTTCCGTTCGAAAACATCCTGCGAATAACTTTCCTAATACAAATTAAGAAGTTTACCGGTATTCTAGAATTGCATCCGGCAGTCTGATTTTCACGCGTGAGTGTAGACGCCGACACACAGACACCAATTTGCTTGTCAGTTTATGTAAATGCCTTATGTCATTCATGCCTTGTTTATGTGAAAGTTACGCAGTTTATTGATATCAGTCTAGCTAGACTACAACTTGCTGTCAAAAATTCATTGTATTGTCTGATCATGATTATTTCACTTTGATTACAAATTATTTAGAAGTTTCAAATGATGTGGATTCAATAAAAGATTAATTTGAACCGGCAAGTAGAATTTTTTTTGATAAACAGTATATCTGATTTCATAGAACAGATAATAATACGCAGCGGGTTGACAAACAGAGTTCAGAGGAAACGGAAAACTGATGTCAAATTACATCTCGCGATAACACTCAACCAAGACAAAATCCCGGCATAAATCCTGTTTAACATTTGCGTGTTCTATCGAAATGCGTGACGATTTGTTTTTTAAAACCATGACTCAGAGTAACATACCGCATATCATTGTATTGTGCGTTTCAACCTTTTTTGAACTGTGGGACATTTTTAATGTCTTATAACACCAAATACTACTTTCAGAAATGAGAATTGGAAGAAAATAGCGAATGGATACCAAGGAACAACATCTATTCTGTTAGGGATTGAAGAAAGACAAACACGCAGTTTCCCTTCAATGGTTCTCAGCTTCCACGTTGTTCAGCTTTTAGTTTTTTATTCGAATAATTATGCGGTATGCTTTATCATTGAGCTGCCTGCTATACTGACAAATCTGAATGGCTAACTGAGTTTCGTTAATCTATCATAAAGCCTCAAAACGAAATTCTGGGAATCCCGAATTCACACTGTTGATTTTTAAAATCTTGCAAAAACGAGCTCATTGATTTCAAATTTGACGCGGAACATCTCAAGGTCTTTTGTCACGGAATATTGGTTGAAAATCCCTTTTCAAACTAATCCAATAGAAGTAAACATTTAAAAGTTATGTTTATAATTGCCACTGACTTCGTACAATTTGTTTCATAAGTATGTTAAAGTGAAAATTCCGGCCACAAAATCACCACAACATCGCTATATAACTTTACTATTATGCAGATAAATGTTAGATACATTTTCTACACGAATGAAATGTTTTTTAACGATGTTCCACTAAAATAAATAACAAACTCACCGACATCTCCTTCTTCAGGCGCCATATCATACAGCTAAATATAGTCATACAGTTAAAACTATACTTCTGTTGAAATGCGAAATAAATAGAATAATACGGGAAACGATCATTGTTGCTAGCACTCAAAAATAGAACTGCACAAATGTAAGAAATTATTGCGAGTTAGTTGCTGTCAACGGTCCACAAGTTATGAATGAACCATGCAAGTACTCAGTAAAAGTTTTGGGTCCCCAGGTAATATTCACAAATTTTGGGGAGTAATGACCGTTCTAGAACCAAACCATTCATTCGTATTAGATAGGACTGGGTCGCTCAGATCTAACTGATCGTCGTTTATGGCGTGAATTATTTTACAGGGATTACTCCAGTTTCATGGCTTTAGAAAATGAGAAATTTAATTTATAGTCATACGTTCTCATGTCGAAGTTTCCTGAAATATGTACAGTCCCAAAACGTTATTATGACGTCAAATCATCATATTTGGATACAAGTGAATATAAACCAGCCTAGTATTAACAGTAGTGAATCTAATACGCTAATAATGACTGATCACAACAATTAGGTAAATACAGTAAACCATTCGTTCCATAAGGCCGGAAACTTGTAATTAGCATTCAATATCTCAAGCGTTAGACTAATACGCGAACCTCCTTGTAGCAATCCTTGATCTGATGTCAATAGCAAGAAATAGGCGACTATTAAATAAGTGCTTCGAACTCTCAAACGCAGTCTCCGTTGCAAAATATAACATATAGTCATATGTTTTGATTAAGCAAAAGACAGTCTATTTATTCAAGTGAATGGATGTATTTTCATTACGTAGTCAATGTGACTATAATCACGGACAGCTTACTCGATGCGCTCAAAATAAAGCCAGACTCTAAAAATATTTGATACCGACGCATTGGACAATGTATCGGGGAATATTTATATGGGCTGCAATAGTATAAGACCACAATGCCATGTCTATCACGGGGAGTTCAGTCGGTAACTAGTTCGGATAACAGACAGTGTCGCGTATGGCGTGCCGTAGACCGTGGCCAGGGGTAGCATGCGCATGCGGCTCTTGCTCCGGTTTCACGAGGCTATTTTTGCCCAGGTTATTTTAAGGAAAGAATAACTTTAAATTACGATTCATCATGTTTCGTTTATATTTATTATGATTAGTCGTGCATTCTTCTTTTACGTCGAAGATACATGAACGCCGACTCAGATGAGGCTGCAACTGAGTTGAAAATGATCGATCTTTATGAGGAAGACTAACTTTAAGACTTTCTGAGGATTTATACCCTAAAACACGTGAAATCAAAGATCAAATCATTGATCTGTTCTGACTGAAACCCATGTGAAAAAACTGCTTTGATTAAAGAGGATTGTTCAATCTAAGGAATGCCAGAAGTCCCATTATAAGTATAGCATGTATACCAATAAATGGCTTGTATTTTTTTGTCATAATCATGTTGGTTAGCGACATTTACAATACACTATCATTAAAACAGAGCTGAATAAAGGTATATCTGATGTTCATGTGTGTTATTGTTTATAATGTGGGTCTTCGTGGGAATAAAGTACGAAATGCGGCTCTTGGTCTCTGACCGGTTGGCCACCCCTGACGTAGGTAAAGGTGCCAGCGAGCTAGCTTGCGAACAGTCATGTTGAATGTCCCACCACGGAATCGAATCTGTTACTCCGTAGACCGTTATCGAAAACAAATGTGAGTGGTCAGATACCAAGCAGATGAACTCTACTGCATTTTTGCGGAACCTTACAAATCCAACTTTTCGTACAATATCTTGGTTTTACTTGGCATTAGATGTATAAACCCATATATATTCGGAAAATAAAAACAGATGTTGAAATTATTCTATAACGACATAAACATGTCGACTGGATATAAAGCAATGGATAAAACAGGTTTCTGTATAGTGATTGCATCAACCGAGCCACAAATAGCGGATCGCGGACACATGGCGACATTTGAGATCGACGAAGGACGACTAAAGTGAGAGACTTTTCGGCAATGTGAGCATGACGCGTGTCACGTATATCTCATTATAGTTTCCGCTGTGTGCTTCCGTTATTGTACCCTCATCAAATTTAGTTTCGACATAAGTCATGAAACATTTCAATACAGAGATAAGCATTGTTAAATATTGTCTCAGTTTATCACATGCAATCCCATTCATCTCCAATTCGGATTACAAAACGTTGTCAATCGCAGATACCCTAACTTTTGGGTTAAGTTTTCATCATTTCAGTGGTAGTTTGCACATCATAAAAATAGTTTCGTATAACATAATCATTACTCACTTCCACTGTTAAGTCCACCGGTTGTCATGTCTCACTATAAACTTGCCATAAAGAGATGTAAACAAGTTTTGAAGACGTCCACAAGTTCACTCACGTCGTTGCAAAAGTCTCTTATTGCAGGCGCCCGGTTTGACTAAATTATCTTAACAACTGTCTCGCTCTGCGACAGAAAACAAGCCGTGAATAGGACCCTGATAAATATTTAATGCAGTGCAACGTGCAACACGTCGTCTCAATGCGTATCTGACCTCTTCCAAAATTCTTCACATTGATCGACTGTTTTATAATTATACACCAGAGTATGATTTGCCCATGCCATCCTATTATCTCTGGAGTTTCAAATGTGCATGGCGATAAAGAAATAATATAATAGAGGACAGAAGATCATTACTGTGATCAAGTAAATATCATTCGATTTGCGAATGCTTTGTGATTGCTTCAGGATCGAATTGAAGAGCATGTTGACTTTCTCTAGTCGTCAGCATTTGCGCGCAGGTTGTCTCTACTTCTTTTCAAGCAAACCACTAATCTTTTACTCAGTGCAGTCAGTACTCATATATTTGATTACGCGTGTAGTTATTCTTAATGTTGTGTGTATGCATTTGTGTGGTCGGTTGTAACATAAAATTGTACAATGCCTTTTTTAACAAATTTTAGGTATATAATATAGGGCAAATAATAATGCGTCTAGCTAGCTCATAATTAGCTTGTTCTTTGAAACAAATACATCGTTTATTTATAGAGACTACACACCCGTCCTACATTATTATAGCAACTACGGACCATACTGAACTAAAGTGCTACTTTGAAGACGATTTTGCACTATTATTTATCTCCACCCACAAAAGTTTTTTCCTGATATGTTCAACTTTACAGGACAATATTGCGCAACACCCCTCTTCAAATCAATAGTTACACGCTGACTAACATTCTCGTCAAATACATTTCCAAGTTTCCAATCACAAACCAAGTGGATTTATCACACTCGCAAAGTGAATGATACTATACGTGGTATTCTGTACATATGGCATAATGTGCATTATCAGACAACAATAGGCTTCCTTAATTTACCGACAGTCGCTTTATATAAGGCGGAAGAAGTCTGTTATACCTAACGATGATGAGTTAGGATGACGGTGATCATGTCGTCATACGATATGGCGTTCACTATAACTTTCGGACAACGACACGAGGCAATGTTGGCATAACGAAATCGAGAATCAAAAGAACCAAGAAAATAGAGTTAAAAAACCTCCATTAAAACTCCACATATTGTTCCTGCTCGACGATATTCATAGAAAACCCATCACGAATGTTGTAGTTCTGAAACCATTCAATAAATCTGTTCTGTTTTATTGACAAAGGTGGGTTGGCACATTTTAGATTAGGATATAGGGGACTTATACACGATCCGAGAGGTATATAGGTACACAGTAGTTGTTCGGTGTGGTGAGATTTATGAAGAATACTTTATGAGATTTAGCCTTCGTGTATAGTCCAAACCGTCTGTCAATTTCGACGAAAGAATACTCCCTGGATACTGTCACAAAACTTGGAAACGGCAATACTGCGTCCTGAATCATGTTCTTCGCGGGTATGATTAGCCACAAAAAATTTGCCAATATTTTATTCAAGCATATTCAATTTCGCATATGGGTATATTCACACGGACAAAAATGCTATTGTCCTTTTTCTGTCCGCTGCCATTTCAGAGGAAAATCGAAATCCGGTGATACCCTCTTCAGGAGAAATATAATGAAAAATATGTTTACGAATTTCATCTTGTTTGATCTTCAAAACGCCACGGTATATCTCCTTTCTACTTTCCAACGATACATCAACCTTGGCAGAAAATACATTTTCAAATTAAAAAAATAGGATAAAATTGACAATATTTTTATGAAGACCCACGCAGCGTGCAGTCATAAAGGAACTTTGAGCTACACAAACGTTTTTGATGTAGATAGAAAATTCTGGCATACATAAGGCAAAGGAAATAGGAAAACCCTTCACAATTGCAATGTCCAGAAGCCGAAACATCAGAAAATCATATACTACTCTTACTGAAACAGTTAAAAAAGACATCAATTTTCTTCTATTTTGAAAGCATTTTGTTATGACCATCCTACTAACATGAACACTGATGTAGCTGTTGCACACTGCCAAAAAGCAGGGGGTTGTTATATCATTTAAAGGATCATTACCTCATCATTGAATAGAAATTGCGCTGTATGATGAATTGCCATCAAATAAGGTACAGGACATCTCAAAGCTGAACAATAACCTTGAGCTAAAGCACTGACATAGGAGCGAATCATAAATACGTCGTTTTCGACTGGATACAAATACCATGACACTGGAATCAACAGCTGAAAGGAAATGGTAATACATAATCGTCTGATAAAATATAGTAACAGAAAAATTGAATAGTAATTGGCTCTAATCAAAAGGCTCTAGATGATTTGCATAGGTAAAGTGCTGAACAAAGCATTTAAATCTAAAGCATCTACACCTAATTCAATTCAGTAAATTCACTCAATCAGACTTCTAAAAGTAAACATAAAATAAATTCAGGAACAGAATATAAAACTTTTTGTCTTGTCATGCGCCCTGCTGTAGTCGAAATGGCCCTATCAAGTGAAGCACACAAGGTTTATATTTCAGAGTGAAACCTTTGTCCACCAATGTCGTTATTAATGTAACATATCAGTACACATTATCTATCGAAATTTATATACCGTATACTGTTTTGAAGCTATCTCATTTTTTTAAAAACTTTATCGTCAACACAACTAACACACGTTTTGGAAATGTTTGAAAGTGCTTGAACTAGAAATTGAATTTTTATATTATGAATGACATCCTAAAAATTTGGACAAATGTGGCATTCCGTATGGACTATTGAGAAATTTCATTAAGACGAAAGATAAGACCCATATACTCCTGGTGCCAGCTCTGCCAACCATAGATGTATTAGCATCCCAATAGCACTCGACTGACAAGGCTAATTGAATTGATAATTAAGGTAGCTCATGTTGAAAAGGTCGTATCGGGAACAGCATGTATATAAATTGTGAGCGAGTCAGAAACAGAAACACAGAATAAGATAAGTTATTATTAGACATGGATGACACTGCCAGGTTATTTTCAAATTTGTTTGGGCTCTTCGCCATTTTATTAAAATTCCATCAAGTGGTGATTTGATAATTGTGTTCATACATTTGAGCATTGTGCAGTGCGCTGTTGATGAATGTTCTAATTTCTTATTATAACTCCAGAAAATTTACAATTTCAATTTGAATGGCATACCTTTGATATTGGCAGGCTCAGTATCCGCAATATATCTCTTCTATCGGACCATAATGCTTTCTTAATATCATTGATGCCATTATTCAACTGATGTAAAGGAAGTAATACAACTGCAGAAAACAATTCGTCACCATACGATACTCCTTCGTATTGTTCCAAGAGTGATATATAGCTATATTGAAAATGTTGTATTGATTTTATATTACATGAAGTTATGGAAAAATTTACTATATATGTTATAAAAGCAGTGGTTCCCAAACCGCGTCATGCGGGCAAATTACGGCACACGTAACAATTTAATTTGTCCCGTCGATCCTAAGTGAAGTAGTTTAACACTTTATGATTTTACATTTTTGTGTTCTAGAATCTAGATACTGCCAATTGTTACGTTATTGTCACAGTTTAAGCATGTGTATATATATTTGTAACAATTCAATTATACCGGTATCTGCCCCTTGCAAGCACTCCCGTCTCTATGCCCCCGAGTATCCTTTCGTTTCTATCCTTCCTATTTTGGCCCCTGGTAAACTGACTTTGGGAACCACTGTGTTAAAGGCTTCGCTAAATTGTTGATAGGGTTGCGCAGAGGTCGCATTTCGTTGGAGTTTTACCCTGTAGATTTAATTGCTACTAAACTAAGATCATGACAGAGATCCGATAAAACGTTTATACAAGGCACACAACTGAAGACAAATAACCGTGCTGTATCATAACCTGTGGTGGGATTGATGATGATTGCACAAGATTGTGATACTCAGCAACCCCGTTCTCGTTTTATGTTTTAAACGAATAGCGGTATATTTGGTCTTTCGAATTTTTGTAATAGATATTTGTAAAGCGTGTCATGTTAAAGTAGCTTACATAGTTACATACATACATTTTCTGAGAGAACCTGTTGTTAGTGACTTTGATACAAAAGAGAACTTTTTATTGAAACTTGGAATCCAGTCATGAACTACAAAACAACCACATATGACACTTTTTAATATTCAAATCTTTGCATCAATTTAAAAAAGTATCTGAATACACAGACCCAGGACGTAGTTGGTATTAAAAATAACTCACAAATCATAGAATGATGATATTCCCGGAATTGGGCATGAGAAGTCGAGTAATTGCGGTGATTTGAGATCACAATAATGAGAAAACAAGAACATTAAGCATTTTTTCACATTGGATGTAAGAAAAATGTCATTTCCTAAAAAATAGAACAGGATAGCATAAGGCAGTTATAAAGTAGGCTATGCCCCATTAGGAAAATTGTCTTCAAAAACAACCAAGCAGTTCAGTCAAATCAAATAATTGGATTCTCTCTGTACATTGAATAACAGAAATTCAGGACATGCATTATCTATATACGCATATACTCGAATTTGTCATAAAAACGGTAAAACACAATTCTAAAATACAGTAAAAATATTTCCTCGTATATCATTTAAAATATTAATATTCCAATTTGAGCTAGCAATGTAATGTAAAAAACCAAAACCTGTCCATATGGAGCTTTTAGGTATCTTTTGCTATATGTAACCTACGTATCTAATACCAATCATTTACCACTGTCTCAAACAGGTTCAGGAGCTGTCATAATTAGAGGCATGTATTTAACCACCAAATGTAATTTAAAAACCTTACTATTTACATCAATATACAGTACTGTGGTTCCACCAAAATAATCCATATAATGATGGTATTGTGAACTTTCAAGTTAAACAAACACCGAGCAATAATTCACTCACCCGCCAGAAAAACACACTTCAGGCGAACAATCTTTGCAGTTACAGAAACGGACGCAAGGCAATCTTTACAAGAATATTCCAAAAGACAAAGATACAACAAACTATTCGAAATATGTGTTAAACTTCCTCCAGGTAGTTCACCCCTGTTAAAACAGCATTATATAGGATTTAGAATCAAATTTTTCCTATTGATCTTGCGGAAGAGTAAAGACAATAAATCATATGACCCACCACTGCTTCTCAGTTATTTGTTTCATATGTATGGATTTGATGGTGAAGGAAGCCATAACAAACCAGCAGTTATGTATAACATTTTATGCTTGATGGGGAATATCTTGAGTGTTGACAAGGGCCACATTACATGGTTTGGTGGACCGGGATGTGACCTGTGGGCCGCCTTTTGCACAGCCCCTGAACTGAATCTTTATGCTTAATCTTGCATATGTCTTGTGTTGCATAAAGGTCGAAATTCATATTTGAAATAATTCTGACTCAGATGAAAAAACAGTTTATTTTACCTGGAAATACTTTGATCATATATTTGTAACAAAGGTATGAACGGCCAGTCTGCAGGGACAGATGACTCATTTTCATCAGATCTCAACAGAAAGGTTGCAATAGTATCAACTTTTTTATGAATTCTGAAAAATTGAATATCAGTTAATAGGTTTGTTTAGTAGATTTTACAATCAATCACTCCATATTATTTCACAAAAGGAAACGTCTCACACCCTTGAGACAAATCTTGCTCAAAATTAGGATTGTGAAAAATGACATAGATATGAAAAGCTATAATGAATTGATTTTTCATGCTTCACGAATGCTACTAAAAACAAACTCATTATGATCAGTGGTGGACGTTATTTAAATTGAAATGATCTGTGAGATAAACAAGCGCAATCTAATACTGACACCAGATGTTGACACTTTTTCTACAACAGACCAAAACAACAATTCATTTGGAAAAAAAATCAGTACCCTCATTTAAATTATCAGAAGTTAGAAAAAAACAATCATAACATTGCCAAGCTGTTTGATAAACAGGTCATTATAGGACCAAAAATATAAAAAAAACAAAATCCATTGATACTGTCCGCTATCATATAAGACCAAATGTTAAAATTATTTGTTAATGGTACTTTGTTTTTACACATAAGATGGGTTCAAAACTGCTCAAGTCCCTCAAATAAATCAAATGGCAAAAATATTATACAAATTCGATAATACACAAACTGCAGCTATTTATATCAATAATAAAATTCTTTGCTAAAAATTAAAAAGGGTTGACATATGTTAGCATCGGTTTCAGAATAAATACAGAAATATCTATTTTCACAATTTACTCTTTTACTTGTTATATATCTGTATTCAAGTTAATATTTTATATACTGTAATTTATGGACCATTAGGTGCACTTTGAATCTTTTTTTTTTCAATCAGTTGTGCGGCCTATAAGTCGATACGTCTAAAGCAGGGGTGGGCAAGGTTTTTGGACAAGGGGCCAAAAATTGTGCCCACTTAGACTGATGGGACATGTAAGTGTGACGTAAATAGTTACATTAATAAACAGAATGGCATAAACTGTGAACAAAAAAAACGTAAAAAGACCTTCATGTTATGGGTACGTTAACGTTTGTAGACACTGAATCGAGGCTGCGAATGCGAAAGAAAGAGGTGTGAGGAGCACACCGTCGAATCGAGTAAGCGCGAAAATGTGAAGTTTCGTTAACGGCCCCTTGACATGTAGAAGTAAAAGATTATTTAAAAAATTATCAGAAGAAATTTGGTAATTGAAAAGTGATAATAACATCTTGTATATACTAGCATATCATACCTGTCTCTGGACTCCGAGAGTATTTTTGGATCAACATATAGACTTGAAATGTATGTGGAACGGATAGATGAAAGGCTTGATACTGCTAAAGAAATTGTACTATCTGGATCACTTGCCATTGCTGATAAACTTTTAGAAACATCCATAGATGCCATTGACTGTGTTAGAACCGTGGTTGGATTTAGAACATTTCTAAAAAATAAGAAGCGAGGCTGTGAGAAGAAAATTACATGTTCTCATCAATAACGGTCAGTTCTGCGATTGAAGCACCATGCACTGGTTAAATAAAGAAGAAATGCTTGACTCCTTGCTATCGTTATTATTCAATTTTTGGCCCAGTTCATCACCTGAACGCGTTGTTTCAAACTCAAATGGCTGACTTTTATATTATGAAACTGACAGAATAACAATAAAATTCTATCAATCAAACATATACCTTATTAAATCAGGATGAAAAATGACGGAAGACAACAAGCAATGCATCAAGTGCTCATCACCAGAGCCAAATTGTGTAAAACATCGAAATGCTGCTATGTAGAAGAAATGTCCATGCTGAGTAAAATTTTTCCCAAAATTTGTGACCTTACAAAAAAAGTGTTAATGAGATGATTTAAATTAGTTAGCCAATGGTGTAACTTGATGGTGCACTTTGCCCATATCGGCCCTAAGTCTTGGAAACCCTAAATTCGAATCCCCATGCCTATCAATGCCTATCATCTGTTTTGAATTAGTAGACAATACCTAACCATTTATTATAAAATCAATTTATTTACAGAAATTCTATGTCTATAATTAAATTTTGGCGAATGAACGACAACGTTATTATGGCCGCAAAACATCTGCACAAATACTATGCAAGTGTGGGTGTAGCGGTCTAGTCAACCATGTTGACCCACCACGCCATGTAATCAATTAGGCAGACAATGCCGAACTAGCAATATTCTGTCATTCTAAAAAAAGCAGCTCCTCATTAACAGCTGCTTATACAATCCTTATTCAAATTGAAGGCATGAAAACGAAGTATAAAAAAGTAGGGTTCGGAATTATGTAAAATCAAAAACTTTAGAATATATTTTAAATACTGCAAATTCGATATAAACTAAAATTTCATGAAATTATTGCACAAGAAAGGTGAGTAAGTATGGCTAGTTCCGACAATAATGAGTACCGCGGCCCTCATTCTTGATCAACCAGGAGGTAGGGACACCCACTAAAAGACGCGAATACAATTCAAAAGAAATATTAGTTTCCAAAACTTAACACAAAAGAAAATATTCAGTACCCACCACCAATTGATAAAGGTTGACTGACCAATACAAACAATATATTCTGGCTTTCATGTAATAATTAGATCCACATCCATCAGAAGATAACATCCATTGATAATTTTCTACTATGTGTGTAATGGTGGATTGAAACACTGGAGCGTGACAGCAGTTCTTATTAATTCTGTAAAATGATGAAACTTGGATCAGAATGAAAACATCAAATTCTGTCTCGGACTCAACTCCGCATCAACGCAGTAAAGTCAATGAATATATCTGGATTCTCTGCATTACATATTTGTTAGGAAATGCTTGTTATCGAAACTCTAATTACTATGCACAGGCTCAAATACAATTGAAGATAATTATGTCCGACAAGATTGCTGGGCTCGTTGCCATCGTAGGGTGGTTCAAATAACCGCTGGTTAATCACAGCTTCCTCCACCATCAAGTCCATGCATCTGAAACAAATAGTCGGTTAATTATTCCATTACCAGAGATGGGCTGGTAACAGGATGAGAAGTTATGTCTGGTAAAATGATTTAGCCGTCTTATCACTACCCAGGATAAAAATAAAAATCCTACCATCCTACCTCCCCCCTGTTATACCTTACCTGCAGATTGTGACACAACATTGAAGATAAGTTGAAAGAAGTTGAAACTTCATTAAATCTTCTGAATTTGATAATCCAACATCAATTTCTGGCAATGATGGTATTTTTTCACTTATCTGATCACCAACAAGATTTTTGAACCTGATAACAAACAATGGCAAATATGTACACCAAGTCAGAACTGATGCTACTAACCACAGTAATACTTTAGGAATGAATGAAATCAGCTTATTCTATAAGGGGTGTGATTTAAACATGCTCCATATGTTCGAAGTTCAACAGAAAATTTTTTAGAGTTAACGAACTATGTAAACTTTCATCATAATCAAGTTTCACACTTTATGAATGACTTTCAGAAAAGTTCAGTCTTTTTGTGAGTGCTTGGAGAGTTTGCAAATGTGATTTTAGTTTCAAATGCAACATAAGGCAACTTTTGTGACATTTTCTAGTAAAGAACACTTGTACATGTAGTTGAATAATCCTCTACCGAGAAGGTGATTCACTTGACAATTAGGACCATATATCCATTTCTATTCCTAACTAGCGTGCAAAATTCTCATTTGAACCCATGGCACTGCAAAGGTGAGAACCACAGCATCAGTACTTACTTGAGAAGTTGTATACACTTGTAAATAGAGGGTAGAACATTATCTGACAATCTTTCAGAGTAAGATGCCAGATTCACCGAACTATATTTCGAATCATTACTCTGCATTTCCGAATATGATGTCAGAAAATCGGTTGTTATTAGAAGTAATGGAACTGAATTACTAAGTTGCTGAAATAAAATAAAAATTTGAAATCAGGTATATTAGGTAACTTAACATTAAATTTGCAAGAAAACAAATAAATAAACTTGGATACTAAATACAAGGAGCAGTGCTCAAATATATCGACACATAGTTGAGAAGACAAATATGTTCACTAGAATGTCAACAAAATTCCAGTCAAATGTTGAAAGAATCATACTGAATGACATATGACCGTATGTCGCTGAATTATAAAAATCCCCACAATTTGGACCAAAATAGGACCACAAACGGCTCGGAGAAAACTGGAAAAAAGTGAAATACTAATAAATTTGAAATCGAATGGCCCATCAATTGTGTGGGGAACCCTTTTTCAAAATAACACCAAAAAAATCAATAACAACTATTCAACAAAACAATCCATATATGCACTTTGTGTCCAATTATTATCCCACAAAAAAAACAAAATGCAACCTCATCCTCCTTTCTCGAAGGAAAGGCTCCATTTCATTAAAGACAACAAAAACGAAGCATGTAAGAAAAAAAATTTCAGGAATAAACTCATCCTGATCAAACAAGGGTTAAGAGAAAATACTTTGTATCAAAATAAAAAAAATTTCCACTCTTTAATCTGCATCATATTCGGTATCATTTGTCAATGTTTTTTTGAAATACATTATTTCATAATACGCTATATAAATAATAAAATCTATCCTTTCAGCTTGTAACTTTTTTACAATTCAATTTCTAATATTAATTTATTAATTTGCAAATTGAATTTGCATATCTAATCTTTGAAGATCGATTTCAAAATTTTGGCTAAGTTTCAGTGTGGTAATACCAAAAAATCGCCGGTACTGGAGCCTGGCCCCGGGACTGACAAATGAAGTATATTTAACCTGTGGCTTCGGAGCTGGTGCCATTGTAATTCCTAACCAGCTTCCCAGCCCTGGATTCAACGCCAAACATATACCGTATGTCAAATTATAATCATCAATAACTTACATTATTCTGAAATATATCTGTTGCAATGCTCATAATAACCTCATTTTGTTGACCTATTTCTTCGCATTGAGATGTATTCTCAATTTTTGTAGATGAGAAAACAACTGAACATAATTTTAAAATCAATCCACATTTTTTCAGTGATCTTTCATTGAATTCTGAATCACCGTTTTTATTATGAGAAGATAACATTGTGGTACATGATTGGATTTGTAAAACGATAATTTGAAATAATTCGCTGCAATAAAAATAAAATTGTTATTTCCAGAAATATTAGCATAATAACAAACGAATAAGAAAAAGTAACTGATGGTAAATCAAATTTTCCTCCTTTCTTCATTCAAGTATTTATATACCGGTACTCGACTTGGATTGGTCACTAAACAAGAGGTTTGGGCAGTCATTTGATGAATTTCTCTCATTGGGGCTGAATATGAAAAATCCTACCCTGTGTATTATTATGGATTGACATACTCCACTGGATAACAACTGCTAACCTCACTATACCAATCATACAGAAATGTTACACAGTCCGGTTACAAGTCCCGGTAAAGAATGGAATAGTTTAGCACACAATTGATCTATACACATGAAAGTGCAGGTCACCACGACAGACTACGGGGTACATGAACCACCCAACAATCTAGCAAACCTCTTGTACATTTTCTGCAACGGATTCAAACAACACAGGGTGAACAGTAGTGCGAAATCAAGAGTGTTCTTAACACTTAACAATATGCACCAAACGTCAATAAAAGAGAAACTAGCAGTCACCTGAATAAGTCACAGAGAAATCCATACGAGCAACAGACAATCCATAATTTCAGAACTTCTTGCTCAGTTTCCGAATAATTTTCATCATGATCGTTAGCAACATATCTCACTATTAATGCTTGAACATCTCTGTGGTCATTTAATAATCGAGATGTGAGATGTCTTCCAGCAATACATAACATTCTTAGTAATCTGATAGCTTTCGGAAATGGATATTTAAAAGAACTTCCTGGTTTGTCTCCAGAATCTGAAATTCAAACAAGTAATAATTTAAATAACATACTATTCGTGTCTGCAAAAGATTAAATATTGTTAAGCTATGAAAAACCAAAAATGATATCCATTTATGTGTTTGACATTCTTGCTTTAAAGTTCAAACCTAAGTTTATAGTTACGCTATACAAAATTGCTCAATTTTTAATGCATTTTATTGGGTACGAAGTGGACCTATGAATCATTTCATCATTTTGTATTCTTACTCTTGTTCTTTTGTTATGAAAAAATCGTTTTTCTCATTAACTCCTGGACCAATTGCTTTGAAACTTTCTGTGGTTAAAGATTGTATTTTTCACTAGAAGGCTATTACCGTACTTTTATTTGTTTCAAAAAATCTCTTGGATTTCGATTTTTTTTTTTTTTTTCGACCAGCGGTTAAGTGAACCAACTACAGTAGCAGGGATTCAGGCAATCCCATGCAGAATAATCAGATATGCAATGGCAAGCGTACTCCTAACGCTTAGGACAATGCCCCGCATCGATGAGCTCTATCTAAAATTCAGAAATGTGATGTCAAAAATATAATCACCAATATCACCCTTAACAACAGGAATCAAAAACTTGATAATGAAGGAAACCAATCTTGGACATTCGAATATTTCAACTGATGATTTGATAGAATGTTTACAAATCCTTATTAAAATATCCAAACAATGATTTATAGTCACAGGTGATGGTCGACAAACTTCTAGAATATATCTGAAAAAGTAATTAAAAAGTGTCGAAAAGTATGAAACGCGAGTTCTTCGCATATCACCAACTTGTGTATCGTCTAACTGTTTGTATTATAATACAACCAAATACACAATCATTTACATACGCAACCATGCATATTGAAGATCATTGATATAAACAGATTGGACGAAATAGCATATGCTAATTAAAAGCAGCTTTTTCATTTGAGTTTCAATAAAATTCATGAAATGCTACTAAGTCGATGGGATTTTCAGTTATATGGTAAACCACACCATTTCTTGTCTGGTTACCAGACCGAATGGGCAAATGCAAATAGTGGTACCAGGACCATGCTGCAATGATATGTTCAGCAATACTTCACCAGAATACCATCTCTCATGAACTATGAATGTGCAACCTCTGTTCTCTCAAGGATGATCAGTGATTGAATAGTTGTAATTAGTAAATATGTTCTCTGACTGAACCAACTGTTTTTTCCATAAAATTGGTATTTTATTAGGTAGTTAAATCATGATCACTGTCAACTTTATAGTAGGAAATTTTGACTATATTATGATTTCAAATTTAAAAAAAAAATGAATTTATTTAAACTACTAAAAATAGCAAATTAATTGCATTGCAAGCCACTAGCCAGATATGGGCACACATTGTTCCAATCCCTGATAACACACAATTTCTATAGCTGTGAGTTATGGCACAGCCAGAGGGGGATATAAAGCCCCCCTTTTGAAATTTTCGAAAAACGGAAACAGTCGCTAATACCATGTACAGTTTTCACAGAGTTAATTTAGTTATAATCACCAATTATTTTCACAAGTATCAAGTGAGTAAAAAGTATCAGGAAAGGAGAAATTGGTAACTCAATAATACAAGATTAAAGAAGAAATTTATTACCTTATTCTCTGTAAAATTTTCATTTTGATAAGACCAGCAATCACATCTTTCTCAGCAATTTCATAATCAGTGTCATCTTGTTTTATACCAACATTGGGGTTTAATTTCATTGTCTCACAACCACGATTTGATAAAAACTTCAACTCAGGAAGTTCCTGAATGAAAAGTGAAAAGTACAACAAAAACTTTGTTTTTCACAATATTATTTTTTGGATTTATAGCAACAAAAGGTGCCAAAATTAAATTAAAACATTAAATTAAATTAGAAATTAAGAAAAATGTGATCCAGTTGCCCTTATAGTTGTGCTCAAATTGTTACGCTCTATAAGGAAAAGCACTAAGGCCAATTTTTTCTATATTCAATCCTAACCTACCTCAGTATGATTGGATGGACAAAGCAATGAGTGTAATGCAAATACGGAAGCTTGAAGAAGAGTTTCAGATTGTTCATCAAGAGACCAACGCAATAGAAATAATATTCCTGATTCAAGTAAATTCTTCAGTACTGGTTCAGAAGTGTCTTTGACATATTCACCTGCTTTAGCCTGAAAATGACACAAATAGTTAGCTACATAATATTAGTTAATTTAATGATTTTTTGAAAAGGATAATCAACAGGAATGCAATGAATTAAGGGCCAAAATAATCTGATATTTGTTTGATACATAAAACGATTTGCTCAAAATCTGCTCCTAAATTTTCAATCATTGAAAATAATTTAATGGAAAAGTCTGTTACGCTTACATGCTGGGGTATACTATGTCACTCTTTACTTTTTATATAACTCAATAGTCATCAAAAATAAAATACAGATAATACCATTCAATAAAAACACTACCACTGGTAAGCCTCAATTTTGAACCATGTTTCAAATTGCTACGTAGGTAGCCCAATAATGTCAACTTCTGTCTCTTGGTTTATGTAAAAAACATTTGGATAATTCACTCAATTAGTGGTTATCATTCATGCAATGTAGTCATGTAGAGCTCCCCAAATGTTTTCCAAGATTTCACCCCTGCTTTTATGTTTCTATTTGTGATTTTTAAATCAGTGCATTCTCTTTAGTGCATTCATATTTAGTTAATAAATAGAGCTCGCAGTCTCGCTCCAAGCTAACTTGTACAAAGTCAAATATATATATAAAAAGTTTCTACACAGTTTCTATCGAGTGACAAAATTACAAAATCTATCAATTCTACCTTCGCTAAAATTTTTCCAACTAAAGTCATTGCAAAAACTCTTTGTTGAGTAAAATTTGAACGTGAAAGTATAAATAGCTCTTGTAGATTATAACCAGGTAAGTCAGGTTCATCGCCGTGATGATGAAGACCAATATGAGATGGAATATTAATGTTGTCATCCAAAATATTGCCATCAAAATCAAACCTGTGAAATAGATGCAGGAGCCAGGAGTTAAGATGAATATAAGTTGGCGGATTAGAAACCAGGGATGGGGAGCCATGGAGCTGTGACATTTTGGTCAAACATGAGTCGGAGCCGGAGCCAGGCTTACTATGGAGCCGAAACAACCAGAAATTTTAGTGGCTCCAGCTCCCAACCATCTTATTATCTTTTAACATTCATAATTTGACCAATACTTCATACAAATAATAAAATCTGTCCTCTTGAAAGTTTCAAGTTGAATTTGTATATTCAAAATTTTAATTTTAAAATTTGAATACCTTATATCATAGTTTTAAGAGCATTTTGTATAGTGCCGAAGCTGGAGTGATTATAAGCGAGAGACTTGAAGTAGTTCAAGTCAATATAACAAGAAAACAGTTATGGATTTCAAAATTTCATATCTGTGTGGTTGTTAATGTAAGACATGAACCACAATGCAGAAGTGATGAATCCAGCAATCCTTATACACCTTCCTTTTAATCTGAGTACTCATAACTTTTTTATTACAATTATGAAAACAAGGGGTCAGAATATAGAGCGATGGTTGTGTCTTTTAATAAAATGTTACAGCATTTGGAAATGCAATTTAAAAAGTTCATAACCGTAAAATAGTTTAGAATAAATATATATTCTAGATCGGGATATGTAACCGTGGCATAACAAAGTAAAAGTAGAAGTTAATGCATATTTGATGAGTAGATTTTGGGAATGAAGATAAGTTAAAATGAAAATTATTCATTTTTTTTACAGTATTTTAGAAAATTAAATGATATATTGTGATACCTTTGAGAAATTTTGACTACAACGAAAGCCTTAAAAATTTGAATCTAAATCTGCCTTGAATACCAATAATAAAATGCAACAACTTTGTATCCACATACCTACCACAATCATACATACACATTAGTAACATAATAAACCAGACAATGTCAGACGAATAAATCTTACCTGAAAGAAATTTTAGGTTTGTTTCTATGTTTTTCTGGAATCATTTCCATCCATGCTAATTTTTCTGTTTCAACAATATCCATGTTTACAAATTTTTCTTTTGTTGTAAACTCATCTGAAAAGTTAGAATAAAAGTATATATTAACAAAATCTTCTAGCTACTTATTCCACTGTTGAGTATTGAAAATGAATTTTAAATATATTGGACAATTAGTTGCAGAGAGAGGCCATTTTTTCATAACAAAAATTTTGTAAAAAGAATCATAGGTTCACTTTGTATCTGATAATATGCTTGAACAGTATAAACAGCAATGGTGATGCAAATAAATAACAAGTTATCATCATTGTATAAAAACTTTTGAATCTACTAATCCTGGCCTATGTAATGATTAATTGATTTCAAAAATTTATTTCAACTGTACAATGCGCAATATTTTAAATTTTCTATTATTACCCATATTGCCATCATTTTCTGTATCCATTTGTTGATCTCCTGAACTAATTCCATCTTCCAGATCGACACTGGTGTCCTCCACGACTTGCTTCGCTAAATCTTTCAAAAAGTTCTCTTCCTTTGTTATAGGTTTTGACACAGATCGATTTTGTAAAAATTTCACCAATGTTGGATTCAATTCATGAATCAGTTTATCTTTTTCTGCAAGTATTTCTGTTTCAGACATAGTTGAAATTTTTTCTATATTTTCATCATGAATTTTCTGACATTCGTTGCTTGAAAATTGCGATGGCTTTTGTGATAGGCCAACCCCAGATACTATTCTTGATTTTGGATATAATTCCTTCAGTTTGTTAATTGAAATTGCCTCTGGAAGTGGTTTCAATGGACATGCTTCCACAATAACCGCTTCATTATTTTTCTTTCTATCATCCATACCGTAATCCCTTAATGATTTATTCTTGAATTGTCTTGCAAAAATGCTCTTCCGTGGACTGAATTCATTTGTATTTTTATTGGCAGAGTCTACGTTTTTGTCTGCCCTGAGAAATACAGATGGAAATGCACTTGTTCTAAAAGTAGGAAATGTTATTGGCATTTGATCCATATTACGTTCCTCAATTTTACTCAGAACTGCTGTAATGTGAGTGTCATGTTCATCCATTTGTGTTTCCATATCTTCATCCTCTTTGTTTGCATTTTCACATGTTGTTGAACTTGTACTTTTCTCTACAAATAAAAAAATAAAAATACATTGTGTAAAACTGAAAATTATTTTGAAATATGTGTCTATACCAAGAACAACTTGTCGTTATCAAGCCCTTTTATTTAAACAGCAATAAGTCAATAACAAAATCTAATACTGTAAAAAAAAAATTAAAATCAAGCCACTGTTGATCTTGACTTTTCTGCATTTTCAAATTTAAATTCATAGAATTTACCAGTTTATACCGACTCCTATAGCAGTATAGCAAAGGTTCTTCATTTGTTTGATAAACATGATTTAATTTAAAATACATTTAATATTCCATAACACAAATAATTGCATTCATATGTATCAAATATGACAATTATGCCAATATATTGCCTTAATACCGGTACTGTCAGACAGCAATACACAATCAGACAATGTTCACTCAATTTCAGAATCAAATACCTGCATATGTAACATCCTTTTCATCATTCCTTCCAAAGGGGGACTGTATTTTGGGCTTTTTGTTCAATTCTTCTAGTTCATCGTCATCTATTTTCACGATATCTTTGTCATTAGTATGTATAGCAACTGGAACTTCATCACTTTTGCGTTTTTTGATCACTGTTGCTGCAGGTTTAGATCCACTTGCGAGAAAATCCCGTTGAAACGCCAGTAAATCATCTTCCGTTTCGTCTGAATTCGGTCTGTTAGTAAACATGTTTTCTAAAATTTAATTTCATAAAAATTACTCCAATTGATCATCCGTTAATCCAGTTAAATGTGAAGAAACAACACAAAACAATCAAACAGCAACACATGTGATGCGATGGGGGAATACCCGGATAAAAATTATGTTGTGGTGAGAGTGCTTGAGTCGATTTTTGGTTAGAGCTAATACAAATATTCTTGTGTTTAAAAATAATTTATTATTTATGTTTAGTATTATATTATAAATAATTTTAACTAAGTTAAGGTATTCACGGCTTATATATTTTGCTTTATTCATACACAGGATTGCCACTGTAATAATGTGTGAGCTTTCAGTCGTCACAAACTCGGGGCACCACAACCGCTTACTCCAATTTAAAATCAAAATAGCCTATTTTCGTTGTGGTGTTTTGGTTTGCGAGTGCTTGGTATTCGCTGCTATTGCTGTATTGTGTTTTTCTGAAGTCTAGTCAATGTTATAGATTATTGGAGAAAGAGATATGTCATCTTCCAAGAGGAATTCTAAGCACGGAAATCGACCAGACCATAGATCGGAGAGAATTCCAACTCCTAAGCACGGAAATCGGACAGACAATAGATCGGAGAGAGCTCCAACTTCTAAGCACGGAAACAGACCAGACCATAGATTGGAGAGAATTCCAAAAAGAGACAAAGATGGCACTGAAGAAATTCTTCAAGTTTTATCTCATCAAGTCGAATATGTTGACCACCTAGAGAAGGAAAACAAGTTTGTTAAAGTAAGGTTCAGAAATATTATAGTAGATTGTATGATACTGTACCATATTGAATATTTTGAGATTTTTTTAAACTATTGTGTATTGATCCATTGATCTCGTTTTCCCTCTTTCAGTCTCGACAGTTTTATTGGGTATCCCGAAGTACACGCTCACAAGTATTTCCAGTTGGCATAGCTCAACAATTTTTGCTTAGGCATTCCTAACCCCCACCTGACACCTGACCGGAACTTACATCACTGCGAAGTCACAGTTACGTAATAAGGCCCTCCAAAGTATACGGATGGTCGTCCAAAAAGCGCAGATGATCATCCAAAACCGAGCAAGCTATTTTTTGTCGTAGCGATACTGATGAAAGAGAGATCGCTTGTGTTATGGAGTTCGTTTTAGTTGGCACTGATGCCATTTCGGACAATCGTAGCTATACGCAATGGTCAAATGGCTTATTTTATAAGAAAACTTTTTTCGCTTAAGTTATGTAATATTTTTTTTCTCAAAATCAATCATCAAGTTTGAATCTTCAGATTTCAAATTTTTTTTAGGATGAATTACTAAGATTTGAAAGAAGGTTGTCGGAAGTTGTCAAAGAAAACCAAGCATTACACGATAATATGAGATCCAATATCATTCATCAAACCATTGCTAAAGCAAGTATGGTGGCAAATGAGAATGAAAAGGTATTGTTAGTGAATTCTAATACTGTAGATATGGCTTTAAAATATATCAGAAGTGAAAAGTCCATTCGTGTTCTTGTATTCGTTATCGCTAATGAGGAATTTGTCTAATTAAAAAATGCCCTTATTTTTTACACTTTTAGTTTTATCATGTCAATTTCTAGTCAAAGCTATATATTTTTCTTCATAGGAATTTGTTGATGAACAACAAAAATATTGGAATGAAAAATATTCATCATTGAACACATCTGCAGTAAATGATGATAACAATGAAGAGTTCAGAGGTCAAGCATTAAAACAATGGAAACAGGAAATGGTAACTCATTTCAAATCAACTTGACTTATCCACTTTGTAATGAACAGGGTCTGTGAGTTGAGAAAAAGGGTCTGTGAGTTGAGCAATTTAAAGCTCCAGACTGTGAACCAGGAAAAAACCAAATTTTGATACCAAAAATTTTCATGTGTGCAAGTCTCTTTAATTATAATTATCTATTATAAATGCTTAGTCAACTTCATGCCTTTTGAGTTTCTGCCGAAAATTTTGACTTCAATTATTGTCATTGGAAAACAGAAATCCTGGTTCTGAAAAATCCCAACTTCTATCCTGTTATGAATTAGAAACTGAGTGGTACTCCTGAAGTATGCGCACCAAGATGTCGCATAACCTGAACCCTAACCTGGTACACAACCTGAGTTCAGGTTATGCGCCAACTTGGTGCGCATACTTCAGGAGGTCCAACTGAGTACCAACTTTATCCAGGTCCAACTGAGTATCAACTTTATGCAACTTAAATCTAAAGCACATTTAGAATCAATCTTAAGTAAAACAAACCACTAATTAATGTTACTAATTAAACAAGAAAACACATAAGTAGCGAATCGCTGACGCTATCAGTGAACAAGTAAATGGTAAAATGAGTAAAGTTGAGTGAAGTAACAACACACTATAGTACGGCAATTAGTTATGTATGCTTTTAAAACATGGTTAGGTTGTGTAAAGTAGGAAAACACTATGGTAGGGCAATTACATAAGTCTGATTTTAAAACATGATGCAACAATCATCGACGAACTGCAACTTCATAAACAAATAATTATATTGAATTGCAAGTTATCATATTACACACTGTAACTGTGGGTGGGGAGGTGTTGGGAACATGATTTCAACTTGAAAGCCCTAATGATTTTCTACAAATCATTTTGTATTGATCCTTCATTTCGTTTGGTTCCAGGAAAACATCAAAGCAATCTACGAAGCCAAAATTGAAGGTTTGGAGGCGGAAATCCACACAACAAAAAAAGATTTGGAGAATGCACTTAATGATAATAAGGATTTAAAAGAAAGATTAAAAGCAATGGATGCATTATTACGAACACCAAGTACAGTAGAACAGAGTGTTCAATTGAAGAAAGAACCTCTCGCATTAAATGCAAATATTCCTTTGATCGAGAGATTAACAAAGTAAGTGTTGGACATGGTGTTTTGAACGTTTCCAAATAAAATTTTTCTTTTATGTTACTGAACCATCAATGTTACTTCTTTGTTATCATGAGTGACTGATACGAGTAGAATGGCCACACGATGACCTAGTGATTATAGTGTTAGAATTAACCGTGTTGATATTGCAGGTTACACATCTTGGTTTAAATCTAATGTCCACCACCAAGGGGAAGTGCCATAGGGGCAGCCCGTTGTAGAGGGCAGCAGATCCAAGCTGTAGAGTTTGTGTTCTTACACATGTTTTTCTATTCAAGTAGAAGCTGACACTACATGTATATTCTTGTATGACCAAGCATTTTTCATTTTTGTTCAAGAAATTCCTAACTTAGCGTTTTAATTTAATTAACAGGGAAAGAGATGATTTGATGAAATCAGTTGCATCCATGAGAAATTCTGTGATGGAAGCACCGAAAATTGAATCTTCGTTACGTCAAGAAGTTCAAAGGAGTTTAGCGATGGTTGAAGATATGCAACTTGAGAAATCTCAAACCAGGGTTTGTATTTCTTATGTAAATTTTTTGTGTATACAATGTTGCTTCAGTATGTACTCAAATTATGTCAATAGATGAGATGTCTATATTATTGATATTCATTCAAATTTAAAAATATTTCAGAATATCTATGTCTTTAAAATTAGATTTAATTCTGAAACTGACCATCCGTCAAGACGATATAGGTAAGTAGGATTCATGTTAGTGCATTCATCTGCTTATAAAATTAGAAAACAAACTGTTAAATCACACCATTAGACTGCTAAGGCCATAGGAATTGTTGTAGATAATATCTAGTATTTTTAATCACATAGCTGCATATATTTTTGTGCCTGCCTGCCTACTGCAATTAAAGCAAAAACTGAGTGAAAACAAATTATTGCGGTCAAAGCAAAACGGTGATTAAAAGCGAAATACTGCAATTGGAGCAAAAACTGAATGGAAGCAAAAAAAATAAAAATACAGCAATTACAGCAAATTATTGAACGAATTTTTTTACTATAAATGGCCTAGTAATTAGAACATTGTGGCTGGCACATCACACAGGGTGTATCAAATTGTATATACAATGTCGAACTGCAAAATTCCTTCTTACATATAGTTAGAGTAAAGGCATGAAATGTTGCATAAAAAATGCAACATCATTTTTTCAGCTTGAAAATGACAGATTAAAAAAAGATTATGATTTGATCAAACAAAGACTTGAATCGGAGATATCATCAACACAGAAAAGAATTGCAGAAGCTTCATTTCATCAACGACGTGCTTGCCAAGATGAAATGAATGAACTTTTGAAGAAGGTTAGAGTTATATGCAGGCTGGGTAGCGAGTTCGAAATCACAATGACTTCTGCTCCAGCCATAGAGATTCATTTTGTCACCTTGGAGCTGGACCTCGACTTCATAGCATTAAAGTTTTGTTTAGTATGATCACTATCCACTATCATAAAACATCAGCTCAAATGCAGTTAGAAAGTGAATTTACAAAAAAAAATTATAAACAGAAAAATTTGAAATTTGTATAAAGTATCAAAATGAGAAATATTAAAATTAGATTGTTAGGAGCTATAGAGGCTCCATGGCTCCAGACTTCGGCTTCTCAGCACTGGTTGTGCGTCTCAAATTTTCTACATTCATCTGATTTTTGCATATTTACACAATCAAACATATACAATTCTAGACTACATATGGTATGGTATTTCTTACATTATAATTTGCATTCTCAACAACTAAATATTATCTTTTTTTTTAATCATCGATGTCTGAATAACAATGATATTACCTACCGTATATTCTCTATCTCCGGACAGGTTGGGGAAATGACTGCAATTTTATCTACTTATGAAAATACGATTGAAACAATGAGTAGAGAAAGAGTAACATTGACAACACAACTTGACGAAGCAAGGAGACAATTACTCAGTGCTAACGAGGATCTTGGTAAAATGAGATCAGAAATTGAGCATGAAGTTAGATCTGCTGTTAAAGGTATTTTTATTCGAGATTTATAATAGGTTGATCATAATACAGATACTGTTATAAATGGTATTGATCGACCCTATTTACAGTACAGAGTATCACGACTATTTTGTGTCATTTATAAATCTATCCTAACTGTAAATATCTTTTTAGCATTTATATGTACCTGCTTTCACTGATTAATATTAGTTTTGAAATTTATTCTCAATACTCGGCTTGGCGACGTGGCTCCTTGTGCTAAGTGTCAGGAATACGCTCGCCTCCAGACCTCTTGATTATCCTGCATGGATTTGCAGGTTCGAATTCTGTAGCGATAATTTTGTGCATAGGATTGCTGGACTCCTTCCCACCGTAGGTTGGTTTACCTAACCGCTGGTTGATTACAGCTTCCTCCACCATCATGCATTGAAACAAGTAACTGGTTAACTAATCCCATACCCGACATGGACTGGTAACCTGGACGAGAGGCCGTGGTTTGTCATATTATAGTTAAACCGTCTTATAGGCTTTTCTGTCCCCAACTCCAGGATAAATATGTAAATCCTATCCTACATCAACAGGTTATAAAGGAGCAGAAGATGAATTAAGAAATACTAAAACTAAACTACAACAAGAACTCACAAGAACACAGCAGGTATGTTTCTAATAATTATTGCTCAAGTTGCACTTTTTGGTTTTGGGCCCCGATAGAAGAAGTGATTACAGCTTTTTATGTTTAAAATATTGATTTATTGGACACAAGGTGTACCGTACCTATTGATCGTTTTGTTATTATGTTGTTCTTGGTATTCGTATTTCTCTTCTTCTCGTTGGTATAAAAAAAATCGTTTTTTTCTCCAATTACTGGATCAATTGCGTTGAAATTGTCAGTGATTTCAAGATTATATTTTTCACCAGAAGGCTATTACATTTAATGTACTTTGAAAATTTCCACGGGCTCTGTGGGATTCGTTTTTGTGTGCGATGACATCATCAAAATTAAAAATTGTGCACCTTGTGGCGTTCTCATGTTTACATTGGTTGCTTATTGATGGTCAGGCAAAGTCGTGAATACAGTGCTACTGGTAGTCAGTCTTCTGGGAAAGATTGCATAGTACATACCCATACTACTTCTTTTTGGCCTTCCATATATTGAGCATTGCTCTCTTGTATTTTCATAAACAGGAAAGAGTTCGTTTTGAGCAAGAAGCTACTGATCAACGACGACGTCTCTCGGCTTCTCAATCTGAAGCTCTTGCAAGCAATGAACTAAATGTAACTCTCACTCAGCAACTTAATGATGCTTTACATAGGGTAAGTTATAGGGATTTATACAATTTTGGCTTGGTGATTTGGCAAATTGTAAAAAGTACACTCACACTCACTATAGAAATGCTGATAACCATTTGTGTGAGACAAAGTCTGGTATACATACTATGGAAAATGGGACCAGGAATATTCAAATGAGAGGGAGGGTCTGGAATCTCTCATTTCTATGTTGGGCCGTAACAGTTAGGGGGTCCTGCCGGAGGACGGAAAGCATGAGAGTCAAAAAAGTCTTGCGGGTCTAAAAAGCGTTTCAAGCTATGAAAAATTGCAATTTATGATACAGAAATATGCTTTTTTTACATTTCATAAGAGGAGTTTCAAGCCCCATCAAAGGCCAAAACCAATTTTTTGGGCTTGAAGCCATACACTTTTTGGGTCTAATGATTGATGCTTATATTTCTTATTTTGTACTTAACAGTTGCAAGATGTTAGACAAGAAAGAGAGAAAATAGAAAAAGAATTCCAAGAAGAAATAGATTTGTTAAAAAATGAATCTGAAGATAAACAAAATAAATTGGAGGAAACGATTCGGAGATCTGGAGTGGAATATGGTTGGTACATATTTTGTTTATATTATAATACTGGTTGGTATCAAATTTTGTTTTAACAAAAAAATACTAGTCCAATTTGGTTCTAAAAATTATATGCAAAATTGAAAAGACTGCTTTATGAAATCCTGTGATAAAATTACCAAGCTTTCCATTCATATTTAATCGGCAATTGCTATACAGGGAGGTCAGTCAATGAAATACCAAGGCGTTTATTGTGCCTATCTATGTTACCTAAATCAGCATTGCGATATGTATAATCACATATGGATCATTTTTCAAATTATTGGTGTGAAAATATTGCTGTCTTCCATGACGAATGGACTAATTTGGAAATTCTGAGTACATAAATATATAAGAAGTCATTAGAAGACTTAATTGTGTTTTGTGCCACCAAGTGGCATTTAGTCTGACTAGTCTGCCATCTTTTTGTCAAACAGCAAGCTCAACTGAGACCAATACCAGCGTGAATTGCTGTGGTCATAGGACTTGATTTGTAATTTCAATTTGAAGCATTCGAATGATCAGATACCAGATTCAAGGACAGCATTACTCTTTCATTTTTCCAAATATTTTGTTAGATGTGGGTTTGAACCGATTGGCAGAAATACGTTTTTCGCTATAAATATGATTGATAAAATTCTATTATTTTTAAACAAGATATAAATCAAAGGAGATTGTATCTGTTTCAAACGTTGAAAGGTTCCACTAATTTCTGTTCCTTTTCCAGAACAAAGGCTCTCAGATTTAGAAGGTATTAGTTCGAAACAATCCAACCTGATTCAAAAATTAAAACATGAAGGAAAAACAATGGAAAATGAGTTAAGGAGAGTTACAAAAAAATATCGGGAAGAAAATGGATCATTATCACAAGACAAAGCTATTGCAACAGCAAGATTGAATAGGTAGTTTTTATTAATTTTGTGCGGTTTCATGTTTTTCAGAAGGACGATATAAGTATCCTTTGTAATCAGTTATTCAAGACTTTGCTAAATGCCAGTACATACGCAGTATAAGTATATTGAACAGTTGGTGCTCCAGAAGTGTGTGTACCAATATGGAGGTATCTGATTTTGTTCGCCTACTTCACATCAGGATATTCACTTGGCTAACACAGACAGTCCCCGAACTCGTAATGGAACTAAAATATGAAAAATCGGAATAAAATTATGGCCTCACCCTAACCTGGCACACACACTACGAGAGTACATAAAAGTTTATATTTACATGATGTTATGATAAATTGTACAATTTTTTTATTGAGCGTTATTGTCAACTCTTGTTGTTTGAGTGTATAACTGATTGAGTTTTTGTTTTATGTATATAAGCGCATGTTGTTCTCTGTTTAATATGACCAATTTCGATATTCCATAATATTATATTAAAATGTATTCGGAATAGTGAATTATTCAGTTTTGACCATCCCCGGGCACACTCATACACATTAATAACATACCGTTTCGAAATGAACGCTGTTACTTCGGAGAAAAAATTATTTTATTTAAAAATATTATAAATAAATTGATTCTTGTTAAGCTGGTATCAAAATATTATTCACCAAAGTATTGCAATAAAAAGTTTTAGGAGTTTAAAAATCAAAATCCTCACTTCCCCAGAAGGAGCTTTTTCAAGTTTTGCCCTTTTTGCTTAAAGCCCTTGTTACACTGTATATTCAGACTCGTTGTGGCAAACAAGGACTTAGAAGAACAAGTAGTTCAACATGGTATAACTCATCGTGAAATGCAGGTTCGTTTGAGAGAACTAGATGAGAGAAACAGAAGATCAGCAGGATACGCTACAACAGTTCTTGAAGAAAATGATAAACTTGTTCTTGATAAATCAATGTTGCAAAAAGAAATTGAGTTCTTACAGTCACAGGTATTGCTATTTTCTTCGGGTAAATAATCAGTGTCAATGAAAAGATTAATGCTCATATGTGGACACGAAGATCAAATACTTTAAATCAAAATCAGGCCCTATTGCCATAGCAAATTATTCGAATCGGTTCAGACGAAAATTTTAAATAGCCACCATCTTGTTTTTGTCCATCGATGGTTGGGGTGGATTTCTCAACTTTTTTATGACGCAATTCGGATATAGGACTCTTTTCTTCAAAGTGAGTTTTTAATGAAACTTTATTATTGTGTGTGAAAGCTCAGCGAACTGTCAGAGTCAGATTCTGTGACATATCTTTCAAGTATTCAAGATTCTGAAAACATCAGATGTTAGAAAATACCCACCCCTGGTCACCATTTGTTGAGCATAAGCTCCTTAACTTAAGGTGGGAACCCGGGGTACAGGTCCTGACTATTTAGTCAGTTTAACTTGAATAGGAATGATCTATTCTTATAAATACAAACTAAGGCAGTTTTGTTTCTTTGAATATTTTTGTCTTACGTTTTTATAGCATTTCATAGTGGCCACGTAATATGCACATTCTTGAAATACTAATGTTTTTATATGATTTTTTATAGGTCATGAACCAAGATTCCACCTGATGTGAATTGAATACATTTTATACTATTTTTATTTTCTTACTATATTGCAGTATCAATATATATTTTTTTAAATAAACTGTTTGAATTGTGTCAGGTAGTATTCTGTCTCGCCAACACTACACTGTGTTATATGACATAATACTAGCTGACAGCAATGTCCGAATCTGTTGTTGTTCAGGAAATGTGGAATAGTTGTTGACAACATTTTTGAATCACAAACTAAAAATTTTTAACAGTCATTCACAGGGAACACTCAGATTTTTTGATTGATAAAAATGTCAGTAGAGCCATCCATGGGCGTTTTTTGTTTTTTTCAATTACTGAACTGCACCAAATAATACACGAATGTAAACTTTCAAGATACGACAAATTTCTGGTGTAGCATTTTCGTATTTTGACCAGGGGGAAGAGAGGGAAGATGTCTCAATCATATGGCGTACCACGACCTCACGTCCAGTTACCTTGTCGGGCACAGGATTAGTTAGCCAGTTATTTCAAATGCACGTATTTCTCGATTAGCACAATACCGATTGATCAATAGCAGGTTTACAATTAGGTAAAAGCATAAATTTATTGCAACACTTAAAGCATGCCGGATTTGAAGACCCAACAGGCTGTTTATCTCCATTTACAACTGGAGCTGCGCGCTAGCTCTCTTCGACCGATGTGTCAGAGTCTGAATAAGAAAATGATATTGGTAGTCCCAGGCTATGATAAGGACAGGATACCACTAAATACAGTTCCTCCGGTAAGAAATTATTATCGACGCAATAATAAGGATTTGCCCAGACCGGCCTAACAAAATCATAGAACTGTGGCATGCATTTGCTTTGTCAATCAGACCAATTGAACGCTTGGGTGGTAACTGATGGCCTGGTATGGCTTCACCTGCCACATTGGACAGTTACGTCACTTTTACACCCATTTATTCACTCCAACCCAATCCACACACAAACCACAAATACTCTATTTTGAAAACTCATCTTTATTGTCTCTCTTAAACTATCAAACCAAAATTTGAATTCCCTAACACTTGCAAATGTATTCACATATTACAATAAAAAGGTATAAAGCTTTATACTCATGTAACCAAACATCCTTCCAAGGGCAAGCATACATTAACTCTCCTGCTTGACATGGTTTTTGCTAACCTGATACGCTATATAACCATAGCACTGCATAACAAGATGTGCTAGATACGGCTCTGGACGTCGTAGAGTAAAAAGGAGATAGACTTATAAAGCGTAGTGTCTACCTATTTTACATTCCAAGAGAATAAATTGGCCAAAAGCAAAAAAAAAATGATCAACAACAATAGGAATAAATAGTTGAAAATTGAAATGTACAAAGCGCGTGGGTATCAGAATCCTCTATTATACAGTCCACGAAACATTTACGTTTTTGGCTGAACAGTTTCTTTTTTCAAAGGTAGGACAGACTGCAAAATCTTGATATCATTCGAACAATTTTCTAGCGTTCAGACTGAACATTCACGCAAAGACTCCGACAGTGGGCCAATATACTCGCCCATCGAAGTGCCATTCAACTTTCTTGAACTAACAACATAGTCCGTGACAACATTAACGATACATTTAATCATCAATAACGATGGGTTCTTGGACCGCTGCACCGGTTGATACAGTGGCACTCGCTGGTGGAGTACTAGTTTTACTTCGAGAATCAGGCGGCAGAATAAGGGCTAATTTTTCCTGAAGAGCTTTCGTCGGCATAACCAGGATGGATTTCTGTGGTCTGCGTGCCGCACTTCGTTGATCACCAACTGTAATCTGCTTTCGAAATTCTCTGAATTTGAGAAAATAAAACATTCGGATTGTTGACTATTGAAGGAAAAACTATAGTGTTCAAAGGAGTATTAGCATCTTTCGTCAAAACAGAAAACGCCATTGGTGTATTCTACATGGTTAGGTCACACATACCAGCTAACAATCTTGCATCATATAAACCCAGGTTGGCAATTGCCTATTATAACCAAGTTGATATACTGGGTTTGCCTGTATCTACACTCATGTGATTTAAAAGACAAATTTAACATAGTACTTAGCAAATCAGTAGTCAATTTAAGATGAAGACGAGAGGTCTTTGAAAAATCTTAGATTAAAAAAAAAAATTACATGGCTGAATATTGCAGACCGAAACACAATATTCTATGAACTACGATTTTTTGTACGGAAAGGAAAAAATAGTCATACCTGACTTTATCAGTGCAAACGAAGAACATATCATCAGAAACATCATTTGCATTAACACATCTTTTCTTTTTCTGAGGACCGTTCTGAATTTTCTAGATTACATATAAAAAGTGGTATTAAATTCAGCACTACTATCAATAATAAACCTTAAAATGTCAATACTTACATATTGATTTCCTGATATGTGACCATTTTTCCCTGGAAAAATAAATCAACTGATAAATATTTGATCTTGAAAATAATGCGGAAATGGGGTTGTTAGACGCCCTCGAAATTGACTGTTTGGGCGCTATCTGATTTGTTGCCAGTGCTTTTTTGACAAATTTTGAAACCTTTTTTAAAAAGTAAAATCAGGCATTGCATTGTAATTTTGTTCATCAACAAAAAGACTATCGGCAATACTTTAAGTCAAATCAGCAACTTTCATATTTTCAATGAAAGGAAATTTTGTGCATTTCCCAACTTTATTTCTTTCCAAAAAGCACAAACGACATTTCATATTCATCTCAAAGAAAAGAGCGTCTACCGAAGTCAAGCCAATAATGCGGCTTAATCATATATCAAACAGTTCAACTTTTAACATAAGAACCAAGTGAATTTGTACGGTATCACAGATTCACAGTCCTTGACCATAGTATGCCAGCATACATTTAGTGCTCCACCGGATATTTTTATTCTTTTGACTAATAAAATGTGAACTTCGCGAATTTGTACATATTAATTACACTAAGAAAATCTGTAATTGGTATTGACCTGTGACTCCATTTTCTCGTGGTCTCTTACTCCCAGCCATTGGTGAAGTTTTATTTCGAGCCATTGGATTGTTGTGAGATGATGTTCCGAGAATGGCTAAAACGATAGCAATGTTATATATTAAAGAAGAGGCGGGTATTGCAGAGTAACAGAAATTTCAGGCATTAGCTAACCACGGGTATCATTCAAATAAAGCTGAGAAATTATATATCCTGAGTATTTTGAAAACTGACATAGCAATTGAAGTGTTAGCTTCGTCAATGTTAGCGTTAAAGAGATAATATAAAAGCAAAGCAATGTTGTCCTTGTTTTTTTATCAAAAGTTACTGGTGGTAACTGTTTGATTTTGTCCCGATATGAATTTCTAAATTTGGCAATATTCTAAGGTGTTTACAATCGGGATAGAATAGGATTTACGTATTTATCCCGTGGGAAATAGAAGCCGAAAAGACAGCTTAACCATATGGCAAACCACAGCCTCTCGTCCGGTTACCAGTCCAAGTCGTGTATGGGATTAGTTAGCCAGTTATTCGTTTTCGTAAGCATGGACTTGATGGCAGAAAAACTGTAACCGACCAGCGGTCAGGTGGCGAGGAGTCCAGCAATCATGTCGCACATAACTATCCCCACATGGTATTCGAACCCACGCAGTTTAACAGAAGTGCGGTGGCGAGCATTAACATAACATTCAATACGATGTGCCACACCACCGTGCGATTAGTTGATATAAATATGAAATATGCATAAATACAAAGTCAATTGCCACATTGATATTAAGAAATATCCATCACCAATTAAAAAAATGTTTCTTACATTTATTACTATTAATGGCAGGCAGAGATCTGTCCAATTTGGTTTTGTTAGTCGCAAGAGTGATTAGTCGAACTACGACAGTGGACAACGGAGGCCATTTCTTTGGAGTAAACACCAGTTGTTCGGGTGAAGTATTCGGAAATCTCAATTGGCCTGAAATATATAGATTTAAACAAAATTATTTGCTGCTTATGACAGTGGTATTTCTTTGACAAAGCTGTCGCATAAAATTGAACCCGACTCCAACTGCAATGAGTCATTCAAAAACGACACCCAACTCCTGGTTGGCAGATATATTTAGACTCGGGCTCCAGCTTTGAGTAGGCTTACCATATATCTGCAGATTGTACAAGCCAACCTTGATCCGATACAGAGGCTCAGTTATAGTTCGAACTTCTGTCATACATTACGCACATCAAAATTAGATGTAAGTTTATTAAAATATCCTATGTTGGTCTATGCTTCAAATAATGGAAATCTTTATTCAAATCATTAGAAAACTTGCAATTTGTTTTCGGCATTTTGATGATTCAACAACAGTACAGTTGGGTGTTAGATTAACGTATGGTTCATATGAATCATAAATTCAAAATTTTTTCTCCCACATCAATAAAAACATATGTTTTTTCGGGTTCGAAGGTTACTGTGGCCAGAGATGTCGAAAACGAATTAAATATTCGAATACATTCGTAATTCGGTATTTTTGTTATAGTAAATAAATGTTTGAATTTGGAAATAATTTCATAGAGGAAACAATGACCTTTTATATTTATGTCGTTTTAGATATGATGACCTGAAGATATAGGATTCCTGTCATTTTCAATATAAATGTTGCCCCCAATTTAGAATGTATTCGATGTATCCTATTTGAAAAAATAAATTGCACTCACATTCAGCCTTGATTGCAGCAATATTGATAGGATGAAACGGGCGTCGACTGTAACGTCTCGGCCCCAGGATATCGCTACATAATCTCCGAGCAACCCTCGTTAATTTTGTTGCACAGAGGAAGAATGCCTGTTTTGTTTTGAGAGAAATACGTTGTGATCCTCCTCGCATGTTTGAGCCGTGATGATGGTTCATGGACATCGGCAAGATTTGATGAGGTGGTCGATACCTCAGTTCCTGCAAATAATTATATTATAGAAATTCATTTGATAAGCATGCAAGAAAACATTGAAAAGCACAAAGTGATCCCAATTTTTGAAAATTTTTTGCTTCATGTAAGTATAAAATAATGCAGATAAGAATTCATATGAAATCAAATGACTGTTCATTTTAACTTTCCTGCATTTCCGAATTCAAACTTACAAACATACATTGAAAGTTTTGAAACATAACTCAATTGAGATACTATTCCATATTTGAAAAAGTTATTCTAGAATGTATTCGAACAGCTGTTTATTCGGTTTTGACTAAGCCAACTTGATATCTATTCGGTTTTGGCTAAGCCAACTTGATATTTATTCGGTTTTGGCTGAGCCAACTTAATATTTATTCGGTTTGGCTAAGCCAACTTGATATTTATTCGGTTTTGGCTAAGCCAACTTGATATTTATTCGGTTTTGGTTAAGCCAACTTGATATTTATTCGGTTTTGGTTAAGCCAACTTGATATTTATTCGGTTTTGGTTTTACCAACTTGATATTTTTTTCGGTTTTGGTTAAGCCAACTTGATATTTATTCGGTTTTGGTTAAGCCAACTTGATATTTATTCGGTTTTGGTTAAGCCAACTTGATATTGTACAAATTTCTACCAACTTGGCCACGATTCCAAATGACAAGGTGGAAAGATCACAAACCTTATCTGTTCCTTTTATTTTGTGATTCTGCAATTTTTCTGATCTGCTGTTAGGAGGCATCTTCAGTCCACCGTACTTCTTCCAATACATCCAGCAAGTGGCGCACAACCTACATCCCATCTGAGGTGGTCCCCAAGAAAACCAGTTGTAAGAATTTGAAGCTGTAAAATAACAAGATAAAATTTTGCTATAAATTAATAGCAGAAAATAGTGAAAGATACAAGTGGAGTATGTGAATAAAATTCTAATGAATATAGGGCTATGCAAAGCAGACTGTATTGGCAGAAACTATGCTATGAAAGAGTAACCTCGTTAACCATTTGGTAACAAAGATTTGACTTTAGTTAATGTGAGCTCAAAACTTAACATTAGAAAACTATTATCTAAACTAAACAGAAAGATAACTATCATTTCATAGAACTCTTGTGTCAAATCGAACGGTTGTTGATGAAACTCACCAAAAACACGTTTCATTGTTAGCAATGTGGAAGTTAACAGTGAGTATCTATTTAAAAAATTACAGTCTAAACCTCCTTTATGTAGAGCACAAGACTTAAATATTCGTATAAGCAAATACAATTAATTGGAATATTGATATATTCAAAATAATAATATTAAGGCCTTGAAAGTGACAAACATGTCCAACTTGCGTTTTTATAAAAAGTTACGAACAACAAGGTTACTTACTGAAACATCCTTCACAAAGTCTATCTGCACTATCACCATTGACAACTTTTATTTGGTTTGGATTCGGTTTGTTGCTGTGAGTTAATAATACATAAGTGGTAAATTCAAAATGAAATCTATATATCATAACAATATATTTTGTAATAAAAGTGCCCTAAAAATAGTATCAACAACTTACTAATTAGGAATATAGACTTGTTTTAATTTGCTTTCAGCTTCTGCTGCTTTTAATCTTTTCTGTTGAACATATCTGTCGGACGTCTTCCACATGTAATAATATTCAACGATACTTGCGAGAGATTTCCAGGCGAGCTAAAATCAAAGAATGAATCCATGTTAGTTCATCTAAAAAGCAAAGCATCGAGATTGCTTTAAAACTTGAATCCTGGGAGCGAACTCTTTAACAAACTGGGTTATGAGGTTGGGAAAAAAAATTTGAAATATAACTCCAGACTCCCTGATTGACAACAATTTTGAATAGAACTCCAGGTTGAAAGACTACAACTCCAGCCCCCAACTTTGAGAAAACAAAATTTTAGACTTCTTTCTTCAATTGACATTCAATAAAATTTGGGTCATAGTTTTTATTTTGTTTTGATTTCTGTTTGAAATTAGGGCTTTGATTACCACCATTACAAGCTGGATAATTTGAAATTTTTATTACAGCTCAGCTCCAGACTTTGGAGAATTCGAAAAAAAAATTACTCCTGCTCCTACTCCATTAACAATGACGACACGCCAATTCCAACTTCAAGCCATGCAAACAACAGCCCATATTCGTACATAATTATGGCATACCTCAACATAGGAGTAAAGGATAGAATGATGCTTAAGTTCTTACAATTAAAACCTTGTTGCACTCAAGAACTACAAAAGATCTAAATATACTTAATCAACGTACAAAGTCTTGTCTTATGTCTGCGAAATCTTTTCCATATTTTTCTAAAGCTTCTTCGAATAACCCTGCTTCAGAAGGCGACCATTCCTCCATTTCATCTTTACAAAGTACTGGTCCACCACGAGGCACCAAATTTGATATTGCTTTTGACATGTCGTATCCGCTATTGTGTAGTGTGTCCATGGCATGGAACTTGAAATATCAATAAAATTAGGAAATTGACTTTATATCAAGCAGGCATGTACAAAAAGGTACAAAATCTAAATTGCAAGGAATCAGATTCAGGAGATCTTGAAATTTAGACCAGTGTTGTCACCTTTTTCAAAGACTTTGAGTGACAACAGTCATATGAGCAAAACTATTCAACATGAACTAGGCTAAATGCTAGAAGACTCGAATATAATTTTGTCGTTGAAAATGTATAAAAAAAATGAAAACTCGCTGGGATTCGGACTACAATTTTGAAATGATCTTTGACTATACTTGATTCACAACTCAGAGGTTCAGAGACTTAAAGTCAAGACAGCATTGTGATCAAACTAAATCATGCAATTACAACTTCTAAAATTGGCATACTGGAATTTCTCTTATTCCATCAAAGATTCATGATTGGCTGATTCCATAAGGATTGCCAATAAATGCAATACAGCTCCTAATTTTCCAGCATTAATATAATTGGTGACTATTCATCATCAACAATAAAAAATAGAGGATGAACTGCCCATCCAATATTCATAACAAAATAAGAAAATTACCAATGTGATATCTCTGGAAGCTGCAGCTGCACTCATGTGTAAGCTTGGTTGTCGAATAGAACTGTTGCAATCTAGTGCACGTGCAAAAGTACCGACGGATCTGTAAAATATAAATGAAAAATTAGTCAATGAAAAATAATCACAATAAAATATATTTAATTCGATTAAGGCATCAAGACTAAATGCAAAGCTGTCACACATTCATCTATATCCCATTAAATAAAGCACAAGAAATTCCTAAAGCAAAATGGTTTGGTAAGATTTGTAGAGTAAAGATAGAGTAGGATTTATTCCTCACTTGATACAAATTATCCTGATAAACCCCAAGTTTGAATACAATTACCTAGGTGTTAGAAGATCTTTTACATTAATCTCAGTAGTTGTGATATCCTAGAACGGGGGTGTGCAACATTTTTTGACGGTGGGACATAATATAACTTCAGACATAGCTGAGCTGGGCCATACACAAAAAATTAGTTTTTCCATGTACACAACAATTTAAAAAATTAGCGACAACCAGAGCGACACGGAAAGGCAAGAGGCAAGGGAAAAAAAGAGAGGCAAAAATTCGCATTGCCCATTTTTATCTCTTGTATTGTATTATTTTGGTTTGATGGTCAACTAATAAAATTTTGGACCAAAATGGTTAATATTGTAAGCCTACACACACATCAACTGGTGAGGGATTTTAAATTATGAATTTTCACTATTTTTTACAAAATTATATATTTTTACCCTATTAACAATAAAAATAGAGTATTTGGTTGGAAAATAATGGGATTCCACTATAGTGTTGATGCTTTGAAATTTTCAGCTATGAATTGGAATTTGCATATACAAACTTAATCTTGCATACAAGTGGTGCATTTTGTGAATAATTTTATCGAAACTATTTGCGTGGGCGTGAAATTAACAGGGGGCAAACAATAAGTCTATAACTTGAACGGTGAAATCTTTAAAAGTGGGAACTCCTTTCCCAAACAAAATATATTTTATTTATAAATCTCTCATTAAAAACGGTATAATGAATTGAGTGTGCACCCGTACCGGAAATAGCCCAACAGATAATGCTACGTTTCGATAAACAAGTGCGTGTTATCATCATGCTCGGCCGGCAGGCTTAATCGAGACAAGGAATGACAGACGGGCAGGAACTATGCTATTTCGCAATACCTAGGACCTGTGACGTCACAAATATTCATGCGTCGACTTTTTTTTCCCGCGCGAGAACACTAAAATTTATCAACAAAAGCCAACGACGACCAGATCACTAATTATCTTCCACAATATACGCCCCGAAGCTAATCTTTCAATTTTGCACAACTTTGACATGGCCCAAATGTGATAATGCCAAAAGTGTGACATGTTAAAACAAAAATTGGTACCCAGGCATATGATAAGGCATGGTCAACTTAATAATTTACCACGCATAACCGATGGAACTGAGTCACGACGTGGAAAGTGTAATATATGCGCTCAACATGCCACGCGCGGCCCGATACAGATTTGCTTAATATGTTCATACCACCACTCGCAGTGTACACCACAAAATATTTTTTCCTAAACAAATCAAAATAGTCGGCCATTTTCTTTGTTTCCGTGATAAGTCAGTCAGGTAGAGGGGAGGGCAAAGAGGCTTTTATAATCGTGACGACGACGACGCCCCAAATGCGTGAGACGCACACCCACTCATATACACGCGTGTGTGTGCCTTCTTTCACTCTTCTTGATAATTTCTCAGTATTTATTCAAATCTGGTCAACGATGTTGTGTGCATGTTGATGTCTACCGAGAAGTCCTGTCTATTGTGTACCACGAGAAATTTTAACAAACGATCGAGACAATTGAAATCTCAAAACTTGAAATGTAGCCGTTTCATCATGTATCGGTCGAAAAATTTAGATTTCAAAAAACTTGTAATTTGGCCGAATCACAAATTCGAAGTATTCTTGTAACAGGCAAAGTATATACATGCATACGCAATGTTGATGATACCATTGGTTCCCAGTTTTCAGTACATAAAATGCCATATCGGGGTATAGAGTCCAGGAAACTCATTAGGAGGCATATAGGACTATACACATATTATATATACACATACTATATTTTTTTTAAACGGGCAAAGTGAGAATTCTGAAAAATGTGATGTAAGCTGAAATAGCGAAGCTGAGCATGGTAATAATTTTGACGAAACGCTTTGCTTCTTAAAATAAAGAAGACGACCCGGGGACTGTAACTTCGATTGCAACTGCCGGAAATGTGCATCGAAAAATGGAGGCAGATGATTGGATAAACTTTTCAGAATACATTCGCGTATACAAATGTGGTTCAGAACGAATACACTTTGCATAATGAATGTAAAAAAATAGATTTCGATTTTTCTTCGAAATAATTCGCACGGCCCTGCGAACACGATGATAACCAGTATTCCTAATTTAATTGTACTAACAGGTGTGTTCGTTATTATTAAAATGTATATGTTGTGACTTGTGACACGTAAAAAGTAAAATTTGTATGAATATAACATAATAAAGCGAGGGCCTATATTCTTACAATGCGATACATCCTTCATTTCCACTCTTTAATTCTTCACTCCCGATAAAATAAAACATAATATTCAAAAGTAAATTACTTTATATTCAATATTTCAGAAGAGGAAATACGGTAGGCTATGTAAATCATCCAGCAAATGTGTGATTCTGCTGCCCAATAGATAGATAGTTAACACCTAACGCCATAAAATTTATCAACGGTCAGGAAACTGGCGTCCAATTTACAAGCTCAGTAAGAAAGTTGAAGTGCATTGATCGAGCACCACCAAGAGTTTCGGTTGTTCTAAGGCTGCCTCTGTCGGTATCAAATAAGTTTAAATCAAAGCATGTCAAAATGTAACGGCCATCGTACGGGGAGCGGTAGTTTTAGACAGGCAAGATGCTCCTGGATTTATAGGATTCGGTGCGTGTTTTGCAATTAAATGGGCTGATCGGAGTAAACATACAATACAAAGTGGGATTTATGGTAGAACGTGGTTCGCATAAAAGTGATCTTTACAAAAGACCGAATTTTCACAGATTTTCTAAATCTAAAAGGTAATACGAATTGGAATACATAATTTGGGATGTGATCGGTGAAAATGTGACAAATAAATTTTTATGAATATAACACAAAAAATAAAGCGATGGACCATATTCTTACAATACGATACATCCTTTATTTACGAAATCGATGTATTTCGTGAAAATCTCGCCGAATCAACGTGTCCATCATATGAAATACGAGCGATCGGTCAACCGACTAATGTCAATTCGTCGACATTTAGCAAAAGAACATTTGAGACTGACCAGCGCTGGGTTGGTCTCATTTATCGACGAAAATTACGTTACAAATTAGTCGATGTGTGCCGTTGCATTTTCGTACCGATCCTGGAAAATGGGCGTCAATATTTTGCAGGTTTATTGGAATGGTTGAAACACCAACAAAAACAACAATGGTATCTATTTGAAGACAAACTATTATTCAACACCACAATGATCACGTGATTTACTCATTCGTCGAATTAGTCACCAAGTCGATGGTGGATTACAATGTATTCAAAGCGTTGATGAATTTCGTGAAATAAAAATATTGTGATCATGAAGCTCGTGAACAAGTTTGTCGCCGTGAGACGTGAGACGACGGATAAAAAGAGGAGTGTCAGCGTGGCACCTGTCTCAAGTTTTAAAAAATATTCCAAGAAAATGTGTGAATGGAAAAATGGTCAAATTAACATTGTATATATTTAACAATATATTAAGATTCATTCCAATGATTTAGTTAGGTTTCTATACAAAATTTACTTCTAAATTAAAAATTTCAAAAATGATTTTACAGTACATTCAAAAATGTTGCAATTAGCATATTTCTGAAGCAAGAGGCTTAAAACATGAATTGGGAAAATAAATTCAGCATATATGCTGTCACGCTTAAAATAAAATATATCATAATCAATCAGAACAATGTTCAGATCACAGATTTTATTTTAGGAAAATGGGTTCCCAAAAAACTTGTATTCTTTTTACTGCTGCTATTTTAAATAGACTTTTTACAGTGGTATTGGAATTTACAGCCTTTCTTAATACATTGATTATGTAATAATGTATGCTTGGACTGATCATGTTCATGCAATAATGATTAAATCTTATAATCAGGCATAACCCACCCAGACTGAAGCCAGATGAGTGTGTATTGATAGAATTATCTTAACCACTTCCATTTTTTTGTCAAATAATTATATGGAATCCTTACAAAATCCTTACTGAAATGAACACATATACATATACAATCACATTCGTGAATATGTTTTATATAGCACTATAGCAAGTCAATCTTTTTTTTTTACTCTGTAGTTGGAATGTCTTGCTAACCATAGTACAATAGGAAAATAACTGTTACATAGAATATAACTATTTTTACACTATTATTATTAAAGCATTATCTTTGCAATAACATTTTATAAGCCATGCAGATTTGGAATACGATAAATACAAATGAGATTGCCTATTAGGTTTTCATTTTGTTAATGTGATGCGCTTAAGGTAATCTAGAAATAAGATGGCACAATATAGGTTAAACCAAGATAAATTTTCGCCATAGTTAGTTACTGTTAATGACAGAGTGTTTAATTATTTAGATGACATTTGAAGTGTGCCAAACCATAATATTTAAAATAAAAATGACCAAGTTAGTACCTTGCTATCACTAAAAATTGGTCTATTTGTTGTGTGGTAGCTGAACTTTTATTGGTCCATATAGGAACTTCTAAAATTTGTGAATCTCGCGGATCAGGACCTAAAAATAAATGATATAATTCAAGTTAGAATCCTAAGTGATTCGATAGTCTTGCTGCACACTAACACAAATATATTTCTGTAACGTTTCGTCTGACCTTGGTCAGAACAAAAATTAGTCAGACTTTTTATTAAAACTCATATCTGAGTGACTGTCAAATGTTGTTACAGTATGTAATAATAAATATCTGGGCCCTATGTCTTGAATTAAATGTTGGCATTCATATCTAATTGTGAATAATACAAAAGAAAGGGCAGTGTCATACTAGTAAATCTGTAAAAAGAATGAATATAAATCACAACCAGAATCAGAGTACTACAAGATACTTCAAAGTGTATAGAGCTGAATCTTGCTCACCTCCAAGTAAGGGTGGAATTTCTGCCTGATATTTAGAACCTACTCGAATTTCACCCTTGTCAGCAAGTAACGTTTTCTGTGCGGGATCATATACCAATGAATAAAAAAATGTATCCTGAAAACAAATACAAATTTATATATAAATAAAATAGCTCGCTATTAATAAAATATTCAGTATTCTTATTTGCAAGTAGATATATTTTTCTTGCTTCTTATTTTGGATGATGATATGGGCATGTCAACCAAAACCAATGATAAATATTGAGGTATAATGCTGATCTTAGCATTCAGTTTGCATGGCATAAACAATTCATCCAACAAATGTATTCACTGTATACCAAAGAAGCGTACTTATTTAATGATTAGTAAATTTCTTTTCACTTTACTCCTACAAAAAATTGAAAAACCTTCCATTTCAATCAAATTCAATACCAATCAAATATTCGAATAGGTCCAAAATATATTGTATTCAATATTTTAAATTGATTTCAGGAATATTTTAGAATAGTTTTATTGCAAAAATTTTATAATTTTGAGAAATTTAAGCCTCGTGATAACGTACCAAACAGAGGCCTTCTTTCATTTCTGAAAACTGTGAAAAATCAATCAAATTATTTGTTAATTTTCAAATGAATTCTTTGAATGTTTAGCGCTTGGGAACTTCAATGTCAACTGCCTTGTCAATGTCAACAGTCGACTTCCTCAAGATTCCAATTACGGAAACAAATTAGACAGGCTTAGTTATGTGAGCTACATCCACTTATCAAACCCGTTTTTTAGCAGTTTCTTTCAACTTGAGTTATGACTACATGTTTATTATCAGACACGGCGTGTACCAAAGTGGATAATTTTGGTATTATGTTGTCGTTATGAGATTTCGTTTTCTCTTCAACTACTGTACTAATTGCTTAGCTACTTTTATTTGTTCTTGAATTTGAATTCTCTGAGATTTGATATTTCATCCAAAATTTCACTATTTCAATTTATTCAAAGAACACCGTTTTTATTCCGCCAAGTGTGTTATTTTAATTTTGCGAACTCTGTGCTACTCCGCAGACACATTTCCAAACGAGTCACCTAGGCTACCGGTACTGCAGTCAGTTATTGGACCTTTGTGTTTATATATTCCCGCTTTGTTCTCTTGTTTTTAATTGAATGCTTAAAAAATGCTTTACCAAGTCAGTTTTTCACTGTCATTAGTCATATAAAATAATTTGAAGGAGGTACTTCATGAGAATGGAGGAATGTTTACTCCAGCTAAACAGTTATTTTTCCTATTTCATATATCTATGCATTTTCCTGTAATCAACTTATTCCCTCATAACCTCCATTTCATATTAAAAATATCACAAGCAAATTAGCTGCAATCTCCACAGGCTTTGCAAATTAGTAGCAAGATAGAAGATACAGTTTGAATGTATACCTCATGTTGATATTTTTATTATGTAGGCAAATTTTTAGCTCCATATTGAGAACATTATTTTTCCACTGCAGACAATGCTCTAGCAACCTTAAATTGGCATTCTTGGTTTATAGACTCCACGAATGTATAAACAAACGATATAATTGGCATGTACGAGTAGTTTGAAAGTACAACAAACAACTTACTTCTTTGCAAATATAATGTCTGAGATCTTCTGTTTCATTTAATAATGTTACACTGCATTTTCCCCTAAAATGAAAACACAAATTTGTTTATTATTAATTTAACACGTTCAAAAATGTAATAATCAGAAATAGAGACAGTATTGGCCACATGCCTGCAATATTCACATAGCTTATATCCTCACTTCTTAATAATAGGGCTACCAGTAATATGTGATAACATTTTCACATGAGCAGGAGTATTTCAGGAATTCTACATGCCTAGTGTGAACCGTACGTAAGTCAGTGTGAAGAACCTGTTACTGTCACTTGTTACTGTCTTTTATTACTAATTGTGTGAATGATTCATAAAGAAACATTGTTTGTACTTTAGATCAAGGCTGTCCATACTGGAGGGCCCATCGCCCCAGTGTGCCCCGAAAGGGCTCAATGGAGGTGGCTGTAAAGTAAAATCTTTCCTGACACTTAACTTAGAACAAGATATAAATCAAATTTGAAAGATTGGGATTATTTTTGTGCGAGAATGTGCAAGTACAATGGTCTCGTTAATTAAAGTTATTTTTAATAAAGAAATAGTATGGGTGTATTTGACTGCTAAGTACGGTAATCGCTCATCCCAAGTTGCAACCAACCCACAGTATATCAGTCTTTACCATACATATTATAAGGCTTTGCATTATTATTACTTGCTGTTTGATCCCACCCCCATCTTTTTCATGTATTATTATAGTTGCAGATGTTCAAAATGACAAACGGTGTATTATTTCAAACACAATGGGCATGGATGAAAAAGTCCCAGCCTACTGCTTAGTCCCGAAGCTATACCTTGAATGTAGCAAAATTTTATTATAAGTGAACTACCTGATGTGTGTTGCTGGTAATGTATCCAATTGTCTTGATAAATATAATTCACGATGATTGAGTTGATGTCTGTCCGCTTCTGTTAATTCACTTGTTGTTTCAGCATCCATGTCTTCTTCCATGTCCTCTGCAAAATATATGATTGAAACATCATATTATGACCAAGTGAACATTGATTATTTGAGATAGTTCGCTTCATACGCAAACACAAATTTATGTGCAGTTATATGTTATATTACCAGATTCGAATTGACAGGTTTACATAATTATACAATTGAGTGTTCAACTCATTCCAGATTCAAAAATTGAGGCCGAAAATAAAACTAGCTTGTAACCCACTCATTGTTCAATACAAGCATGAATCGTGAAGATAGTTACGGTAGTTTGCTAATCCAGTGTTCAAGAAGATCAAATGCAGACAGAGCAGAATCTCATACAAACTAAGAATGAGGTGAAAACAATTATCGAAGAGTATAGTAATTTCCTCAAAAACAATTTTCAACCTCAGGGCTCGAAATCTTGAATTCATGCAAACTGAGTAATGAATTCTTATTTCAGTAAATAAACAACGAAAACTTATTATTTTTATTATGGATACTCAGAGCAATGTGAAGTTTTATGTGCAATTTTATTTACAAATTCTGCCCAGAGCAAGGTTGGAAAACCCCGACTACAAGTTGTAGAAATTACAGTAATAACAAGACAGTTGCAAGCACCACTAATGCACTAAGAGTAAGTATATAAATAAAAAGTAATCGAAATGTCTGTTGTTAGCTTTCAATAAGAAACATAAAAAATTCAAGCTAACACGATCAAGAAGACAGTTCAGGGGAACTGAATTCCACGAAACAGATTTATTTGGGCAAAACACTTCTTTCTGTACTTCAAGTTCCCAAACATTGACAAAAACAGCTTGGCATTAATATCATGTTGAAGCAACATCAGCTAATGAACTTGCTTCTGATAGCAACCAACAAATTAAACAAGGTGCTGTCTGTCAGGCACATGCCAGAAAAGAAATGGTTCTAACAAGGATATATTTGTATAGGATTAACACTTTATGTCTGCTGCATATACAAAAATATTGCCAATTGAAAAGATGGGAAATTTCAACAAATCGTTTATTCTTCCTAACCATTAGCAAATAAAATCAAAATTCAGAGTGCATATTTAGATCTAATTCAAATATTAAAAACTCTATTTAAAAATGGATATATTCCCACTCACTTGCATGTTTATCTGCGAGCTGCAACAAACTAGTGGATATATCTCGCCTCCTATAAAAACATATAACTTTGGCTTCAACATTTCCATTGGTAGTCTGAAAAAAAAATTGTCCAAGTTAATATAAAAACCAAAAAAGATATTGATTTGCAGTTTGTGATACAAACTAACAATAATAATGTGTAGCTTCCAAAAAAAACATGACTCCACAATTCCGCATAAAGCAAATATATGGACATGAAGGAAAAACAAAGTAGTATGGCAATGTAATCTATCACAGTAGACTACTGGTACCGCAGCCTTCCTGACTTCGTCTGACCACCAGATCGCGAACGCAGTACCGCCACAAGGTGCGTAATTTTTAATCTTGATAATGGCATTGCACATAAAAAAACAAATCCCTTAGAGCCCACAGAAATATATAAAATAAATAAAAGTAATAGCCTTCTAGCGAAGAATAGAATCTTTGGCCACTGAAAATTTGAAGCAATTGGTCTCAGTAGTGAAAAAAGGTTAATTTTTTTATAACGAGAACACAATTCATCCATATGTACACTTAGTGTCCAATTTCTAATTATCATCTTGGCATAATCATAACATAACAGTGCTTCATTTATTATATTCTGAGAGTAAATTGAAACAATACTTTTCATATCCCTACTATTATTATGCTGTCGAGTTTAGTTGAAAGGGTTTACATTTACATATAAATAAACTAAAGTCTTGCCTACAAAGAACACAAAAGCACAGTTTTGAACTTTTCAAAGATGATTTTTCACAACTGCAATCACATTTGTCTTTTACATACTATACTTAAAATCAGTTATTTGGGAAAAAAGTTTTTCTAAAAAACTACCCTTATTTTAATGATGTGATTCAGTGATATATTTATCAATCCTATGATCTAGCCAGCATTCCTTTCACCTGTTACTAATAACAAAAGGTAGAGCAAGTTATGACTCATACCCTCATATCATTATTCTTATCACACACCTCACATTGAAATACATAATGAAACTTAAAATACAAAAATTAAAAAGCAATACTGAGAAGGAGTCAACTTCATACAAAATGATGGAAAATTGTTCATGACATGTGAGGTAATTCATCCTCGTCATCAAATTCCAATTTTTTTGAATATCTCATTCTTCATGGTTATAGAGATAAAATGATCATTTCAAAAAGACAACTCAGTAAACTGAATCTTTTTACCAATCTCGAATGAATGCTATATTTAACTCTTGAACTTTTTTGTTGGTATGATGATGACCCAGTCGAAAAATGTACCACCCCACACAGACCCTGGTTTTGTCAAATTGAATTGGCATGCAATTGGCAACCGGAAAAGTTACAGCCCTTCCAAAATATAGCAGCTTATAACATATCAGGGGTTATTAGTACACAGCCCTGCTTGAAGTACAAAGCATGTAAAGAATAACAAAAGTTGGTCCAGCAATGTTTTATTACTTGTAAAACATTGAATGTGGTGATGCCTTATGTTAACGAATTTCTTGAGTATATGATTTATCAAATTTTTTCATGTGACCTTAACTGTTGGCTATCAATATGGTATCCACCATTAATCAATTATTGATTGATTATTCTATCTAATGGAATGTGGAGCTGGTTAGAGAACGTGTACAATCAAAACCATAACACCATGCCTATCTGAAAAAATAAATTCTCATTTTGGAATGCTATTTCATTTTGAAGAGATTTGAAACCCCATATTGTAATAGCTTATTATGCTAATTAATATGCATTGGCATTAATGTGTTCGAATTTGCTCTTGAAAGTTGACGTCAAGAGAAAATGCAGGCTATTTACATTATAGAGTAAGGCAAGCCAAGATCAATCACTCTTCTGCATGGTCAATATAGTAATGCTAATTATAGACTCGTATTCTAAAATATTTTATACATGCGAGAAATATCCACAACACATTTTATATTCTTTTCTTAAATTCTATTGCATTATTTTAAGTTCTATACAAATGGTGTAAAAATTGATTTTTTTATATACAAATTTCATTGCATGTGTTTTATTTACATAGTGGATATACTCTTAAACACTCCAATTCAGCAGTGAAAGACAAATTTGGTAAACAATATTGGTCATATTCCAGTAACACAAAATGAAAGTATACCAGAACATTCTTCTCCTTACTGTCAGATAAGTTAAACAAATAATGAAATTCTTCCATAGATTAACAAAGGGTTAAAAATGGCATAAAGATCATTAATAAAATGAGAATGAAAAATTGATTTAAAGTAGATTATTCCAATGATATCTATAAAATATATGGCGGTTTCAATATTTCGTGGCACCTTATTGAACCCACTTTACCCAATTACTAATATCGATATATTATTCAAACAATATTATGCCTTGTAGATGACATTATATATATATATATATTATTTATTTGGGGCTCCCGAAGTATGCGAACCAAGATGGCGGACATCGGAATGTAATATGTGTACTAGATTAGGGTTAGGCCTCAATTTTAGGTATAAATACTACGGGAAGCTCTTGGCTAGTCTTCGAACTGATAATAGGACTAAAATAGGGAAAATTGGAAAAAAATTATCGCCTAACCCTCCTGTTAGCTGTTACCCATGTTACGTTCCGATGTCCGCCATCTTGGTTCGCATACTGCGGGAGCACCATTTATTTTTTAAATTATATTTTCTATATAATATTTATATATTATAATGAGAAATACAGGGTTGAGGAAACTTTTTTACCATAAGAAAACAATGGTAATATTGTAATTTGTTCTCACGCATATCAAAATACTAGCAAAACTTACCTAGACAAAAATAATTATTTGAATATGTACATAATAAATATAAAAATATTTGTATCAGTTACATCATGTTAGAGCAAATTTCTATGGGCTCTATGAGATACGTTTTTTGTGTGCAATGATGTCATCGAAAATTGTGTAACTAGTTGCAGTTCCACTTTTGCGGTACCCATGAAGGTTGCCATACCAATGGAGTCTACTGTGACAGATTGCATACCCGTACTTCTTCGTTTTGGCCTTTACTCTACGGCGCACTCGGTTGTTCGAGCACAGAATTTCAGAGTACTGCAACATTTTTGACTGGAATTTTTTGGTCGACTACTGAGTTGCTCAAGTATCAGGTCGTTGGACTACCTAGGTATCACTGTATATGACTTTTTTGAAATTAAATACCATCTTGAAAAGCAAAATGACAGTTTTGAAAATTATAGAAAATCTCTCACTTTATTTAATTCTTCTATTCTTCGTATTAGATATGGGTTGCTGGATGAATTTTCGAAGTAGACATAGTCTGAAAAAAAATATGGCAACATATTATTTATATCACAAAAACAATAATATACAAAGTTATATTTGTATTTTGAAAATATATGAAAAGGGACTTTAAAGCATGAGAGACACGAACTTGACACTGAGTGGATTCGGTTATATTTCATATTGATGTTCAGTTAGAATAAGATTTACATGTTCATCCCGGGGGGGGTGAGGAAAGTCGAAAAGACAGCTTAATCATAAGACGAACCACGGCCTCTCCTCCCATTACTAGTCTAGGTCGGTTATGGAATAAGTTAGACAATTATTTTGTTTTCAGATGCATGGACTTGATGGTGGAGAAAGCAGTAGCCAACCAGCGGTTACATGAACCACCCTACGGCACGACGAGTCAAGGACAATCCTCTCACACATAAATATCCCCCATGGAAATCAAACCTGCGTGGTCATGCTGGGTAATCAGTGGTGCGGTGACGAGCGTATTCCTAACACTTCATTCCATTTTACTCTATAAAGGTGGGCAGCGAAATAAAAAGGCTGAGAAGAACTGTGCTGTGAGTTTGTAAAACTGTTAATTAAGAACATTTGGCTTGAAAAATCACTGGATAAAAGGAAATTCAAAATATGAGAAGCACACTTGTTTACTCTTAGGAAAGGATGGTTTGTGGTCTGATCGGTGTCAATTCTTCCACCAAACGCTATCCCATTCACATATCTAGTGTATTAGTGTGGTTACCTATCCCAATATTGTATGTATGTATGTATTCGTCTCGTAATTAGGGATGGGCAATATAGAATACCGAATCCGGAGGATTCGAATCCCAAAGTATTCGAATCCAACGGGATCCGCTAACAGGATTCGGTTTGTGCCTTTCCGGTGCCATGCGTCAATTTTTGTATTTCGGGTTTCTAATTTATCAATTATAGACGAGCGTTTTTCTCACGTGGAAATCTCTCTCGTTTAATTAAACTTGCGTCTGCTCGCAAAGAACCCGTAAATCGGTAAACATCAAACACTGTAATTTCAATCGGCATATTCAGGACAAGAAGTCGGCAATATAATCTCACGGCGAAGACTCGTTATTGCACCATTTTTGCGTTTTCCTTCTTTGCTATCTAGCTGGCGTTATTTGTGCCGACTCACTGGTGATATTCCGATAGTCTGAATGCAACAATCTTTAATTGTTTACAGACATGCCGTGCTTCATTTTAAATTAAATAAATTTTCGCGACCTACGAGTTTTCCAAAAAAATGATGCACGTAAACCAAAAGCCAGGCGTTAAATGTTATAACATTACTTGCGATCAAATATTATTTACTAATAATTTTATTATACCATTTTCCGAAATACAAAGTTATATCGCAAAACGCGAACATCTGTCACATTTAAATTTCACTCTCAAAAGATTACATATTTTTAAGTCTGGGTAGATAATGATTATTGATAACATTTCTATCGTTCAAGATAGACGCACGTTTGATCGAAAGTCTGTAGTATTTTAAACGGCGATGAATTTTGAAAAAAGTTGCCGCATCTGGCGAAGATAGTGACGTATTGAATTTTAGTAGGGCCAAGTCTGGGTAGGTAATGATATGTAACGATAATCATAGAAAATGAGTTCGTCTTTGGATGTTATTACCTAATAACTAAGTACGAAATCGCGTTTACGGGAACTTGGTTTAACGTGTCTTGCTCGCACAGAATAAAAAGTTGATTTTAATTGATAGTGGCTAAATTTAATATTTTACAAGGGCGCCTAGGTTGCGATGGCCACACGCTGGTTCTGCATCTAATTAGTTATGTTTTAGTACACTCGACAGACTTACATTAATAATGATTTAACGCCGTTTCATGTCTATTTTGTATTTATTAACCGCTTACTATTAAAGTGTGTAAAGCGTGTCTTAGTTTAGCATATCAGTATTTATTAGTATTTAGGGATTACATACATTTGGAACAATTGAGGGCAAAAAATATTGTAATATTCCTAAATTTTATTGTCCTGGGAACTGCCTATTTAGTATCAAATGAAATCCAACGTTCAGGACATTTCCAAATAAATAATACAATACTTACTATAAATATGTATAGTAAGTAATACATTGCAATTTTTTTACATTTAAATCCAGCAAGGTGGAAATTCCCACTATTTGTATAACTATGAAAATAGAATAGGATTCGGTATTCTGGATTCGATTTAACTATTCTAGAATATTCTAGAATAGTAAATTATTCTACATTGCCCATCCCTACTCGTAATGGTAAAAATTTTGATAAGCTGACAATATCGTTTGAGAAGGAATACATGCACATGACAATAAAGCCTAAAACAAAAACGTACATACAGGCTGTCACTTGTATAGACAGTTATGCTAGTAACAAATAGATAGCTGGAGAGGTAAGGGTGGAATATACAGAACTGTTTATACAAGGGATTTCCTAAAACATGACAACATATACCGGTATATAAATAGGGACAGCACAACACAAAACACCCAACTAAATTTAAAATTTTGTCATTATTTCACAGGATTAGACCATGGTATGCTATTATCTGTTAGCAACCAAAATCCTATAATTCTGATCCTTCTAATAATAGTTCTAGGTTTAAATATTTTCCCAGTAACATTTTTTTCAAGTCTGTGGGTCCTGAAAGGGTCCTAAAATGATAATATGTAATCACTGTTCGAACAGTTGAAATAATTTAATAATTTTCAATTTAATTTAAAGTGGAAATCATAGTAAATATCTTACAGAGGTTGTATTTAGTGGTTGATCTACCTTAAAAACCCACCCTTCATTTTCAATATTTCTTTTTTATTAGAATTAGGTATTGCGCGTTGCAGTAAAAAACTGACTGCAGGAAAATATTACTCAGGTTCAGTTTTGTAAAAACGTCCCAAATATATGTATGACAATTTATTTAGTCATATCTACCATTATTGGATATTTCTGTCTGTTAAATTACATTTTTCTACAAAATCTGCTCCAATTTATTTGAAATTTTACAGTAAATAGCAAAATCTTTCGTGCGAGAATTTCTGCACTATTCATAAATGAAGGAATTGTTTTTTAAGTTCTAAATTTGAATCAAAAAAAAAACTTCAGTTTCATAAACTGCTAGTAAAAAATAATGTAAATTAATAAATTATTATTAGGTTGCTAATATGCCCCAATGGGTGTGAGATTGTATACTGATATTGTTTTGAGCGTGATTCAGTCTGAATACTGAGATATCTAAATCAGGGTTTCCCAAACTGGGGGGCGAGGGGTCAAGCGACGGATTTTAGAGGTTGCGAAGGGCACACCAATTTCACGCGAAGTTTGATATTTATTGAAACTAGTGCAAAATCTAAATCTCACGATTTCGAATATGATCGGAGTAGCGGCGCGCTCGTTAGACCCGAGAAGTGGCATGTTTCCAAATCACCTGCAGGCCGCACAGAAGTATCTAACGGGCCGCATGCGGCCGGTATGTTGTGCAGGCCTGGTATAGGTGATGAAGCTTTGTGGCTCACTTATTACAAGATAGAAATAGAGATTATGTATATAAATGATCTTATGGATAATCAAAAAATTTAGAAAAACAGATTTATTACAATAATTATGCAAACACTTATTCGTATTATTCTATTTTGGATAAAAATATCACACAATTTTCGTAATGAAGTTAATCGCCTTGTTGCTGGAGTTATTTGATACAAATCAACTATATCTTGGCAGTGGAATGGACATGGACATGTAACGTGGAAGCATTCTCAGTTTCTGGTTTGGACGCAGTGGTTCTCAACCGGGGTTTTGCGGCACAATAGGGTTCCACTAGTAGAGTCAATAGGTTTCGCGAGTTTAAATTTAAATCCAAGAGTCTATATCAAGGGGGGGCAAGGTTTTCAACCGGGGGCCAAAAATTTTGTCCCTCTAGACTGGCAGGCCATTAATTATGAAGTAAAAGTTACATTTTGTGGATAATATTTACATTGTTACAAAAGCAAAAGTGGAAAATGATAAGCCTCATGCCAAAACTCTATTTGATCACAATCCCAACAATTTCCGTGAGCTATTTTCTGCTAAAACAGCAAAATTTGGTTTTAGTTGTGACAGCATCAGGCGGGCCAGATTGAATTACGCAGCAGGCCGGATTTGGCCCGCAGGCCGTAGTTTGCCCATGTCTGGTCTATATTATTATATGTATGTTTAAATATAATCAAATACCGATAAGGTTAGCCACTATCATCAAATTTGATGTTCTTTAAAGATTATTTTGTTTTGTCAGTTTCAGGTTTGCTTTTAAATATATTTATGGTTTGTACAATTCTATTTACAGCCTCACGAGTATGGCACAGGAGTTTTCTGAGCCACTGGAATGTTTCAAATGGAAATGGAAATTCAATTTCAAATGGAAGTTTGATAAGCAACCGTATGGCAAACTCAAGATTTTAATGCATTCGGACATATTAAAATGCAGGTTATTTAATTAAGAAAAAAAAGAAAGCAAGCTGGCATTGGTAAATGATAAAATCTGTGGCAATCTTAAAAAGTATAATAATAATAAGTATATTTTGATTTTCCCGCAAAAAAAAATCATACACAAAACACAAACAATGAACACACAGAAGATTGGGAAAGTCTGGGTAAGCTGGGTGCAAAAATCATAAAAGACTGAGTAGGTTGTCCACTAACTTTATCATGGTGCACATCATCACACTGAAGTTGCCAGAGTTGGTTTGTTTTTTAGAGTTTCAATGAGTTTGCAGGTGTATTACATTTAAATCAATAGTAAAACAAAATACTCAAGTCGTATATCGTCATCCATAATCATAAACACAATTATTACCAAGTTATTATACAACGAATTGCCGCCGAAACTTCAAAAAAACAACAGCAGTATTATCGACCATGGCTTCGCTCACGCTCGACAGCTACATGGGATTTTGAGCGCGAACGACATTTCTATCGAGACACATTTACATTAACTTAATTTTAGTGCGACCACTGCGCAAAAAATTTATAAGACAAATATTCAAATACGACATTAAAATGAACTGAACATGACAGATTAAATAAAAACTACAACTGATTCAAATTTGAAACCATGTCTGATTGATTTCATCTGATATTATCTAAAGCTGCATATATTCCGAAAACAATACCCGTATGACACTCGTGGTCGCGCACATTACAAGAAACCAGACGCCGAATAAATCGAAGTCAGCCTCGCAGAAGTCGTTAGCATAAAATTTTATCAAGATCATTAAATATATATAAATAACTTACCGCCAATTCTGTACATATTACTCGAAGCCATTTTATTTCTTTGGTGTTTATACTGTAATCCTTCCAGTTGTTACTATATTCATTATAACTTGAAAAAGAAACAGAAAACGATCGTTCTTTCCTGACCCAACTCCGAACAAGTCCGCACCGCTTCCTCTAAAATGGAATGACGTCACATCTCCATGCATTTGTCTACGTAACCCTATTTACTCATTTCGCGGTTTCGTCAGGCTCAAACTGGTAACCGTTGTCCAATAAGAATCTTCGAATTCGATACCGAACACACTGATATCATAAATGTGTATTTTAAGTTTGGGTATGCATGAAATTGGGATAATACATAAAATACGTTTTTGCCTAAAATTGGCGTTTATAAAACAGGGTGAACTCAAACTATCATCGTGTATTTTCTCCTTACTCGTTGATAACCTTTTTCGGAAAACACCATTATCTGCGTAGAATTTGACAATTTTAGTGGCGATCAGTTGAAATCAACACTATTGACAACAACCGACAACAGCAAATCACACGTAAAACCAATGGATATTTTCGCACTACAATTTACCAAATATACATAATATACAATATATACATATTTTCTACAACGTCTTACGAATTTGTAAAAGATAACATGTGTGTGAATAATATGCCAAAATGCCAAATTCATCGATAAAATATTCAACACACGCGTAGCACCAACAAAAAAACTTTTGCTTTGCGTAAACGTTGACGCAGTCGAACGTCTTAATCACGCAATGTTTTGACGCGATTTATTGAGCATCAAATCGTCAACGATCAGTAACGTCAGACGTATAATCAGCAAGCTCCATTCACCAGATTATGTATTCACTCGAAATAATCCGCTCGGGTGATCTGCACTATTCAACTTTTACGATCTGCGGTCAATAACATATAACAGGCAGAAAATTCATGCTGCATCCCTATCATGTAAAATGTAGAGATTTCATGAATCCCATGTCCATTGTGAGTGAGCTTAAAATAAACAGGCTGCGAATGCACAAAAAGTCAACATATCAATATTACTTATCGCAATGTGTAAAATCTGTATCAATAACGGGTCTTAAAAGTTTAAGATTCAGTCACTGATATTTCAAAATACCAGAAAAGTAATAAATAATATTGCAACATAGGGTATATAACTGTTTAGGTACACGTAACTACACAGCGATTTAAGTTTAATAACCCTGGATTTGAAAATAACGTCTTTGATGTGTGTTGCCGCGTCTCCTTTAATATGTTAGCATATCTAAGCGCAGGTTTCCTGTTCATATTGAAGTTTCACATTGTAATCTATTTTGCAATGCTCAAAATATACTTTGCCTTTCTACGGCAATTTGTTAAAACAATTCGTGCCAAGTTTTCCAATCACGAAACCGTTTGTCGGCTTTTATAATCGTTAAGATATGTATAATGGCTCTTCTCAAAATAAAACGCATTTCTATATAATTATAATGTAGCTGATTGTGTTTATTTCTACATAAAGAGCATCACCAAATTTTAAACTCAGTAGTTTAAATGTGCCGCGCGCTCCACGGTTGAGCATAAAATTCCAATTAAATAGACTGAAAGTTTTGACAGTCTAAAATTACAAATATCCGTAAGGGGGCGCTGGTGGATAGTCGTTTTATCACAGGCGATTCCGCTAGCATTGCCATTGAATAATAGTCAACCAACTCTTTTTATTTGATTGTTATATCCAAGGAGTGTAAAGGGAAGGAAAATATATGCTCAAATAACGCATAACGCTCAATAACAAGAGCCTACATATCTCAGTCAAATAATGGCATAATAAAATTCATTACAGTATCGTCAGTAAAAATGTGCGACATAAAAACAAGATAAAGAAAAAGATGAAGGCGGACAACAATTGAACCGAAAACCATTTTAGCTCAAAACTATATAAAATTTTACATATTTTTACACGTTTCAAAAAGTGAGGTGATTTCCTTACGGTACTTATTTTAAAATACTTTTAGCAGAAAGCCAGTTAAACTAATATCGATGTAGAATAAATACAAGGATCCGACAGATGGCCTATTCAAATACTGAAGTGCATAGATTTTGGTTGACGAATTTTGGATTCTGATTGTAGATTGAACACAGGTTTAGTTGGTAATAGAGTCGGCGATCAGTCCAAAGTGACAATCACTATGATCTTCGATTGCAATTCTATAAATAAGACACGCTGTTCAATCTCACTCCAACCTTTATCCCGTGTTTATTTATCAAGATAGATTATCCCATCCTAAGTTTGATTTGAGCTTAGCTTTTGGGCTCACTTCTGGTGTACATGACGTGTATTGACTTGAATTTGTTGATTCGAAATTGCCGCGCGCCGAAATACATAACGAAGTTGTCCCCATCTATTCTTATTTGCATGTAACTCCACATCATACTTAGGTCTGTACCATTTGGGTTACATGCGGTACCATTTGTAGCAAGAAAGTCACAAGTTTGATAATTTTAATGTATTGATAGAAATAATATTTGTCTGTGGTTCGTCCCTGGCATAGACATATTTTTTTTCAATTATTGACGTTTTGTGCCAAGAATCACACCTCTTTTTGCCATGTGTAGATACGTAGTACATGTGTAGATGTGTAGTGAAGAGTATTGCTGAACTAAGACTTTGCCGTCGCAGGTTAGATTCTGTAGCGAATATTTTGTTAGCTATTCCCATAGCCGACCTGCAAAGGTAAACGGACAACAGGCTGTCGCCATTTTAACAGATCACCCTTCCACAGAAAAAAATCGGTAGGCCTACTCCCGTAGTGTGTGTACCACGTTATGATTAGGCTATAATTTTATTCAGATTTACCTTATTTTAGTTTTAGTTCTATTACGAGTTCGGGGACCTTCTGTGTTAGCCAAGTGAATATGCCCATAGGTTTCAGTCCCTTTACAGAACTTGATGTAAAATAGGCGAACAAAATTAGTTACCTCCATATTGGCACGAACACTTCTGGAGCGCCGAAAGCTCTTATGTATAACTTGATACGTATAAAACTAAACTATGGACTCGAATATGTTGATGTCTGCTCGAAGAACAAACAGATAAAGAATTGAAAAGGAGATAAAAAAAAATTCAAAAAATAAGTATAAACAAAGATGAAAATGTTTTGGGTGGACTAGCGCATACATTACAGCTGCACAGGTTAAACACCAAGTAATATGAACATAACCGTCTTGAAAAGTGTTTAGAATTTAAGTCAGCAATACGTCATTTAAGTAAATTATAAAAAAAAAATATACTAACGATAATATATTCAAATAAAGCAAAGATATTCTCTGATTGATGAAGATAAATTCCAAAGTAGAAAACTTATCCGCTCAATATTCAACAACATTGTCAGTCATGAAACATTGGCGATGGGTAGATTTTAGGCCCATGTTAATGTGAAACTATGGCATTCAGATACAGTTTTTCGTCTGTGGTACATGCTCCTTTATACCAAGATTTGTTTCTAGTACGTGATAGTGATGTCTATCATAAAGGGAGAATTCAAAACGGCGAAATAAACGGGGACGTGGGAAGTTCAAGAGTTGTGAGTGACTAAGTAAAATATCCCGAATCATGATTTTAAAATAATGCTGTGTCATTTATATTATTTTTTATTCATAAAAATGATGAAAACAAAAAAAGATTGAAATAACATTTTCTTGAAGAGAAAAAAAAGTTAGAAAGGTGGTTACGGCTAAATTGGATTTCATGACAGCTATTTTATTGTAAAATAATGATTTCGTGATACTGTTCAGTACAATGTATTCTCAATCTTTAATAAACTCCAAACGTTCTGTAGCGAAACTTGAAGTTATTACATTGGATACTCCCGTAGTATGTGTACCAGGTTAGGGTTAGGCCATAATTTTGTTCCGATTTCTCTTATTTTAGTTCTGTTACCAGTCTGTGTTAGCCAAGTGAATATACCCCCTTCCCATAGGCTTCAGTTCCTTTACACAACTTGATGTAAAGTGGGCGAACAAAACTAGTTGCCTCCATATTGGTACACATACTTCTGGAGCGCCATTACATAAAACAAATAGTTCGGGTGTGGATACTAAAAATTAGATGACAAACGTTATTTTGCATAATATTTAAAGTTTCCAAAGTAAATAGAAGAGTTAGGAAGAGCGTATATATAGAAGCTAATTGCATATTTTTGCAGACCAAGGAAGCTAACATCGATAGAGTAAATTATTGAAAAATTGTCCGTGTAACCCAAAACAGAGATATTCACGTGTCTCAATTATATACAAAATGAGTTTTATTGATGTATCCAACTAATTTATCGAAGTAAAGTAATATAGCAGTTATATGATATGTACGATATCAAAACTTATACCAGCGCTAACAAGCGTCGGGAGGGTGTTAGTGGGATTGGTCATAATGATAAAATTGATTGCCGAGGCGTAGACTAACCCACTTTTAAATGAATATATTTTAAAAAGCTAAATTGAACATAACTGCCTTCTGCTTCGAAAAAAATAAAAATCGCAGACGAAAGGAGACTGTGTCACGTCTCACTGATGAACATCTGCAAGCAACTCGAAGTTTGGTGTCTGCTGACATGTTGAATCTCAATATCAAAGCCATAGTCAATGAAAAACGCTGCCAGCTAATTAGCCAGAACAAATAATGACTGTAGCCTGAATTGTTAGCCTACTAGTATTTATATTTTATTGTGTTTCTGTAACGTTTCCTTATTGATTGACTTCTCATTATGAATTGCGGCCCTCGGGTATTTTACACGTCCTTATTTGACCATCAGACCTCTGGTATTGAGACCTCTGATTAGTAAATAATCGAGTCAAACGATTTCAAAGGATTGCACACGAATTCTCTTCGATACTGGACCTGGAAAAATTCGTAGTTAGTTCTGTACGACTTCTGACCATT